ATCTGCTATGATTGAATAAAGATTTATAATAGGTGGTATACTTGATCCCTGGTCGACATAGCCACACACCTATATACCCTGTGTGTCAGTGTGACCTTCGAGCATTTTTTTTAATCACTGGAGTGGTGGGATAATCCACTTGGAAGGGGGGAATCATCTGCTTCTGATTGTCAATAAATATGACAACACCTCGATAGTTTGTTTGGCGAGATGAGAATTATAACCAACTTTCCTGCTGATGCTAAACTTGGCTCCGCTATTGTTTTCATTCAATAACGTTTGTTTGTTTGTTTGTTTGTTTGTTTGTTTGTTTGTTATTTAACGCCGCACTTAGCAAATAATCGAGTCTGGAACAAACAATCAAGTGATATCATGAGCATCGATCCACGCAATTGGGATACGATTCTTAAAAAGCGCACTTGGCAATTTTTGTCATTACTTTAAGTAATATTCCTTAAAGGGGGATGGTTTGTTTTCTCTCTATAACTATTATCACAATGCAACTATCTTGGTTAATTAACCATCGCGACATTTCGTGATTCTATTTCAAGTGGCGAGGACATTTGGGACAGTAGGGACAGTTGGGACAGGAGGGACAGTTGGGACAATAGGTACAGATGGGACAGTTGGGACAGTTGGGACAGGAGGGACAGGAGGGACAGTTGGGACAGTAGGGACAGTTGGGACAGTAGGGACAGTAGAGACAGTTGGGACAGTAGGGACAGGAGGGACAGTTGGGACAGGATGGAAAGTTGGGACAGTAGGGACAGTTGGGGCAGTTGGGACAGTTGGGACAGTAGAGACAGTTGGGACAGTTGGGACAGTAGGGACAGTAGGGACAGTTGGGACAGTAGGGACAGTAGGGACAGTTGTGACAGTAGGGACAGTAGGGACAGGAGGTACAGTTGTGACAGTAGGGACAGTAGGGACAGTAGAGACAGTAGGGACAGGATGGACAGTTGGGACAGTAGGGACAGTAGAGACAGTTGGGACAGTAGGGACAGTTGGGACAGTAGAGACAGTAGGGACAGTAGGGACAGTAGGGACAGTTGGGACAGTAGGGACAATTGGGGCAGTAGGGACAGTTGGGACAGTAGGGACAGTAGGGACAGTAGAGACAGTAGGGACATTAGGGACAGTAGGGACAGTTGGGACAGTAGGGACAGTTGGGACAGTAGGGACAGTAGGGACAGTAGGGACAGGAGGTACAGTTGGGACAGTAGGGACAGTAGGGACAGTAGAGACAGTAGGGACAGTACGGATAGTACGGACAGTAGGGACGTATTTCTACCCTAACAGCCGACGCGTCTGCTGTGGAATGTGAGGGTACGATCACCATGTTGCACCGAGATCACAAATAAGCGTCCAATGTGCCACGACAGTGTCACCCAGCCCCCGAGACACGTGATGGATCTGAATGTCTTTTTTAATCACCACAATGCTTGGGTGACAATAACGGTTTGTATAGCCGCTGTATACAGGAGTGTGGGAAAGGGCTCTGTTTGGGAAAATGATGTTTGTTGGAAGACTGCCACATCTGCTATGATTGAATAAAGATTTATAATAGGTGATATACTTGATCCCTGGTCGACATAGCCACACACCTATATACTCTGTGTGTCAGTGTGACCTTCGAGCATTTTTTTTAATCACTGGAGTGGTGGGATAATCCACTTGGAAGGGGGGAATCATCAGCTTCTGATTGTCAATAAATATGACAACACCTCGATAGTTTGTTTGGCGAGATGAGAATTATAACCAACTTTCCTGCTGATGCTAAACTTGGCTCCGCTATTGTTTTCATTCAATAACGTTTGTTTGTTTGTTTGTTTGTTTGTTTGTTTGTTTGTTTGTTTGTTTGTTATTTAACGCCGCACTTAGCAAATAATCGAGTCTGGAACAAACAATCAAGTGATATCATGAGCATCGATCCACGCAATTGGGATACGATTCTTAAAAAGCGCACTTGGCAATTTTTGTCATTACTTTAAGTAATATTCCTTAAAGGGGGATGGTTTGTTTTCTCTCTATAACTATTATCACAATGCAACTATCTTGGTTAATTAACCATCGCGACATTTCGTGATTCTATTTCAAGTGGCGAGGACATTTGGGACAGTAGGGACAGTTGGGACAGGAGGGACAGTTGGGACAATAGGTACAGATGGGACAGTTGGGACAGTTGGGACAGGAGGGACAGGAGGGACAGTTGGGACTATAGGTACAGATGGGACAGTTGGGACAGGAGGGACAGGAGGGACAGTTGGGACAGTAGGGACAGTTGGGACAGTAGGGACAGTAGGGACAGTTGGGACAGTAGGGACAGGAGGGACAGTTGGGACAGGATGGAAAGTTGGGACAGTAGGGCCAGTTGGGGCACACCTATATACTCTCTGTGTCAGTATGACCTTGGAGCATTTTTTTTAATCACTGGAGTGGTGGGATAATCCACTTGGAAGGGAGGAATCATCAGCTTCTGATTGGCGTTTTGATTAACCGTCTGTGATTGACAGATGAGCTAATCCATCTGTGATGGGCAGATGGGATAATCCATCTGCGAAGGGTAGGTTGAAAACCTTTTATTTCGAGGAGTGGTGCACCTTTGACAGGAATGCCTTTTCCGCTTTGGGGGGGGGGGGGGGGGGGGGCTATTGCACTTCTATGGGGAAAGGCTAATACAGTTTTGGAAGGGTGGGGCTAAACAAAACAGGGAACCAACTGTTAACAAATCCCAGTTGTTATGCCATAAATAGTATCGACTTAACCAAGCAGAGCCACACTTATTGCAACAATTACTGACCAATGTACGAATCATGCTAAAATAAAACACTGGATGACCATTTGATGAATACATGCACATTGCTATTACAAACTGGCGCTGACGCCCTTGTATAGCATATGTTCAGTGATATAAGTTACATCAGGGAACTCGGAATGAATAATTAACAACATGCAGTCTTATTTTCAGATATGCTTCTCGTATTGATGGATCTAAATAAAAGGGGCGATCGGGTAGCCTGGGGGTTAAAGCATTCGCTCGTCACGCTGAGGAAACGGGTTTCGATTCCCGACATGGGTACAATGTGTGAAGCCCATTTCTGGTGTCCCCCGCCGTGATATTGCTGGAATATTGCTAAAAGCGGCGTAAAATCAAAACTCACTCACTCACTCTAAGACCCGTGAAGATTCCGGGGTAGAATAGGTCTTCAGCAACCCATACTTGCCGTAAAAGGCGACTATGCTTGTCGTAAAAGGCGACTAACGGGATCGGGTGGTCAGGCATGTCCAAATGCGTGGATCGATGCTCATGATGTAAATCACTGGATTGTCTGGTCCAGACTCGATTATTTTACAGACCGCCGTCATATAGCTGGAATATTGCTGAGTGCGGCGTTAAACAACAAACAAACAAACAAAACACTCACTCTAAATAAAAGCGACAAAACCCTTTCTTTAATCGTAAGAAATCTTTGCCTTTCTACGATTCCGAATATGTCATGAGCATGTATTTAGGAATCACTATGCAAAGGCAAGTCAATTATTCACATGGGCACATATGGTACGAAACAAAATAGTCGAAACAAACACTGGCGCGTCAAATTTGGAAATATCTTCCACATGTCTACTGATACATTTTGAAAGTTTTACTGAGACCTATACTAATGCAATTCTAGTGACAGTAAACAAAAAATTTGCTAACTAGAAAACAAACAATGACGTCGACATAAGTGTAGTGAGCAAGTGAACATTCATCTGTTCATGTCTCCCAGGCAGCGAACGAAACAGGCATCCAACAGGTGTGTCTCTTGTCTCCTATTCTTTTCTGTGTATTTGCCTAAAGTAAATACTGAAGACCTCATCACCTATGCAGACAGTTTGTTTCATCAATACGACAGAACCGTCGGATTAGTTTATTCGTATTTCAAATAAAAGATGAGCATTCCTCGAAATAATAGCACAGGTATCCGACACTGAACAAACAGCGATACGCGCGCTACAACGACCTGTAGTAATCAGTGCCTCTTCGGAACCATTGTGAGTTTTGGGATAGTGGTGTAAAATCTTTCTTAGTTTTGCATGTCACGTTTGTTATTGATATGGGACGTGAGATTTTTAGAAAAAAAAGATGTGTTCTGATTTTATTTGAATAAATTCTTACAGTAGACATCACGTCGAGACCCGTCTTGCATCAGTCGATCATTCAACATAAAATGCGGCAGTGAATGCATGGCCGTGTTAAGATATACCTGCAGTTTATTACAACACTTTCAAGGTACGTACTCATCCCGTAATTATTATATATAAGGTTAAAGACAGGATACGTAAACAGTAAATACACAGTAAATGTTTTGATTATTAAGGGATAGACTTTGTGCGAAATGCTTAAACGAATAAACCATATTGTTTCGGGAAGATGGGTTATTCGCAGTGTAATAAACCGGGTGGAAAATCATTTTGGAAAACCATAACTAAATAACCAAAATGCAAACGTGGTTTCATTCTGTGTAGCAAAGATACTTCAACGTCACACCTGCGTAACAAAAATACTTCAATGTCACACCTGTGTAGTAAATATGCCTCAATGTCACGCCTGTGTAATAAATATGCTTCAATGTCACGCCTGTGTAATAAATATGCTTCAATGTCACGCCTGTGTAGTAAATATACTTCAATGTCACTTCTGTGTAGTAAATATGCTTCATTGTCACTCCTGTGTAGTAAATATACTTCAGTGACACGCCTGTGTAGTAAATATACTTCAATGTCACTCCTGTCTAGTAAATATGCTTCAATCTCACGCCTGCGTTTAAAAGATACTTCAGCATCAATTCTACGTTGGAGAGATACTTCAATTTCCCCCTGTGTGATAAAGATACTTCAATATCCCTCCTGTGTAGTATGGATACTTCAACGTCCCTCCTGTGTAGTAAAGACACTTCAATGTCCCTCCTGCAAATTTAATATACTTCAATGCCCCCCTGTCTGATAAAGATACTTCAATGTCTCACATATACATACACATACACACGTGCATGCACGTCGCTTTGTAAGTGCAATAATCAAACGCGACGTTGAACTCAAATCATTTCAAATCACCTCACCTATCAGATTTGAAATGACAATATCTTCCCGAGTTGTCTATTCATTTGTCACTAACCTATATAGTATAAGGTTTCATTTTTAAGTAAATGTGCAGTTTTATATTTTAAACCCAGTTTCACTTCCTCCCTGAGTATGTTTCAGATGATGCAGAGTTTTAACCTACTCGTCTTTGTCGGTATTAGCGCGGCGTTTTTGTCCTTTACATCAGGTAAGACTGTGGGTTTGTTTGTTTGTTTGTTTGTTTGTTTGTTTGTTTGTTTGTTGCATAATGCCGCACTCAGCATATCACTAAATTATGTTTTGTGTCACGATAACTAATGAAAGTTGTGAATGTTTTTAACAATTGATATGGGCGGTTTTGCTTGTTTGTTATTAAACATTCCAGCTATAAGACGACGGCCTGTAAATAGTCGAGTCTTGACCAGCCAGGCCAGTGGGTGATATTATGAGCAACGCCCCTTGCCGACGGGTCACGATGACACGCTATAAATCGAGTCTTACCAACCGATCCACTGCATCGCCTGTTATGAACAGCTTAGGTTGCTGGGGAAGTAACTCAAAGTAATGTGAAATGCGATTAAATAACCCAGAATAGTGAGTGAGTGAGTATGGTTTTACGCTTTTAGCAATATTCCAGCAATATCACTGAGGGTGACACCACAAATGGGCTTCACACATTGTACCCATGTGGGGAATAGAACTCGGGCCCTAGGCGTGACGAGCGAACGCTTGTACCACTAAGCTACCCCACCACCCTTACCCAGAATAAGTGAATGTACATCGCGTTAACCTCAGTTCCGCACAAACGGGGTATTGTTAATAGACCTATTGACAATTGTACACAAAGCGTTGAAACGTACTCTATAACTGTACGCGGCTCTAACGTTACCTCGTCGTCAACTATACTGCTCAACTTCTAACATGAAAATCAGATATGTGTATCATTGAAAAGAAGAAATATCCCCATCAAGAACGGAGTAGTATATATAACAAGGTAACAGAAGAAGAAGTGAATGCGTGAGGCAGTGTTGTTTTAACAGTAGTCCAGTTAGCCATAAGTGATGCTGGTCTTAGATGTTCACCACTTTGATGAAACCCACGAGCACAGGTATGGTGCTGACAAACCAAGAAAACACAAGCAGGGCGAATCTGGGATTCGAACCCACGATCATAGGCTTCCAGCTCTCCGAACGGACGCAACTCTTCACAGCGTCGCGCGGCTCCGAACACGACTGGGCTCCCAGTACCAAGAAATAGAAGTAAGCAGGACTTGGCTATATAAGAATGGGGTTTGATATAAATGTAACGTCAACGCCAGAGAAAAAACAGTCTCTGTACCTCCCACATAAAGCTGACACGCCGTGATATAATATAACTGGAATACTGTTAAAAGTAGCGTTAAACCCAACTCACTCACTCACTCACTCACTCTGCCCTACCGGTAACCTGTGTTCGCGACTTTCAGTTTGCATCAAAGATTATAAACCTCTGGTGACGTCATCCTATTGTTCTCCTTTCGGGTTAAATCTCATAAACAGGGACGTTGTGATGTCCGTCGGATTTTATATAACATCCCCGGGATTTTGTGGGATATTCAAGTCATATTTGCTATACAATGTGTTATAATATACTAGGGATTTTATATGATGTCCGGGGTATTTTATTAATATAACTTCCGTTCAGATTGTAACATGTAATGAAAAATAAAATGACAAATGTTTTCTTTATATTCCCGAGGATCGAACTCGCAACCTTCATATCTGTAGCCCAGTGAGTGTACCACAAGGCTACAGAGGTGTTGATAAGCCGCACAGCTTTTTAGAATGTTCGAAACATAAAAATGTTGATAAATGTTGTTTTAAGTTTCTTTTCTCTGTTTATAAGTAAGATTAAACACTTCCCCTCGTGACCGCCTCCGTGGTCTAGTGGTAGAGCGTCCGCCCGGAGAGCGGAAGGTTCGGGGTTCGATCCCCGGCCGCGTCATACCAAAAGACGTTAAAAGATGGTACTTGTTGTTACCTTGTCTGGCGCTCGGCATTAAGGGGCTAAAACAAGGACTGGTCGGCTCGGAGTCAGTATACTGTGTCTGAGTGGGGTATTCATGTTAAACTGCGGCATGGTATCTCAGTGAGCTAGCACTATAAATCGGCATCAGTCCGGACTTGTACAAGCAGCCACACAAACACACACACGTGCATGCACGTCGCTATATAAGTGCAATAATCTTGGACGCGACGTTAAACCCAATTTCACCTCACCTCACTTCCCCTCGTGTTGTTATGATATTTAAAACCCTTTCCCTCGGAAAATCCCTCGGGATGCGGGTTTTAAATATCATAACAACCCTCGGACGTGTTTTATCCTATACTTTAATGTATGCTGCCTGATACTTCACAGCAGTACTCCTGCCATGCTACGGCGGCCTGTACCAAACCAGACAATCCCGTGATAGGCCTAACATTGTTCTTTTTACTGTGACAGCACACAGCGCCTACGACAGCTGCACATCTGCCAGCGACTGCCCAGCGACGACTACCTGTCGGTGTAATGGCGACAACGGCTACCAATGTCTGTGTGACCCGGGATACGTGGTGGGCAAGGAGGGACATGAATGCGTCATCGGTAAATACATGTTACAAGTAATTCCGCAGCATTTGATTGGCTAACCAAACAATTTGTATTGCGTTAATGGTTCCATAAACCGAAATATTGACCACGCCCACAAACGAACTACTGTTTTCTGATTGGCTGAAAATAGAATAGGCTGTGTTATTTTTGCTCTGAAAGATGTTACGTATTTCGAACAGTTGTCTATATTTTTTTGTATAGTCATGATAAAATCAGTTTACAATTGTTTTACAATTACAACGGTATTTGAATTAACCTAATTTCAGTTGAAATTAGATCTGAAAAAATATTGATGGCGTTTATATTAATATTTGCACCTAAATACATCTGGAATGTTTTATGTGTAATGTAAACAAACAATAAGATCATTTATGTTAATCTCATATGCCATTTTTCTTTTAAATATGGACAGATTTCAGTGTTCACCAGTCTTACCATCCAGTCTGATTAGAATCAGATCTGTAACAGCCGGCTTTCTAGTAACACTATGGCTGCCTAGATGTTAAAGCGTTCTCTCGACCCGCCAAAGGCCTGGTTCGATCCCCGACATGGGTACCCAGTTAGGACACCTCATTAGAAGGTAGCATAAGTGACCGCCAAATCCTGTAATTGATGAGGGTTGTGTTGGTTCTTCAGTCAGAATTCTAAAAAAACATTCAGCTTCAATTCTTTTCCACCTCGATTCGGAAATTTCGAGAACAGTCACTAAACACAAATATACCTTCGATGGTAAACCTTTTTTTGGTACAGACGCCATTGCGCTCAGAAACGACAGTATGTATAACACACCAACAACAGTATATCATCCCAGCTTTATTTTATTTTTTGCGGAGCTCCCAGATTATATACTTTTTCGAGATACAGAAGCAGATGTGATGTCTGAATGCGTCGGTCACTCGTATCTAGAATTTAGAAACCTTTTCGATTAATTAGAAAGCTCACCTGGCAGAACAGAACAGACCGACCGCTAAATGCTATTATCGGTACAAGGGGTACCCGGATGTTAAAAACATGCACAAAGTGTTCATTCATGCATAGATTTGTATTACACTATGTTCACATATATGATATTGTTTTCAGGAGGACGCAAGTAGTTTAATGCACTGGCTTTTTATAGTTTAGGCTGGGTTTAAAATTACTCTGTATCAAAGTGCATATTTTTAGAGATTTCTTTTAATTGCGAATTTTTATACATTCTTTGTATTACATTCTTAGCATTCTAAAATAATTTTTAATTGGGAAAGACAATGAAAACAGTAAAAGAATTGGCGTAAACTTGTGGATCCTGGAATCGGGCGACAAATGGTCACAATGTATCGTTGTCGCACTTTGGTTAATTTTGACACGTTTTGCTGGTTTGGGTTTTTTTTTTGTAAGGGTGACAATGGGACAATGTCCCGTCTAGGATTCCATATATATCCTTCGACTCTGGGTAACACATTATTATCCCCCCAACGTAGTGGAAGGAGGATATAGGAGTTGGTGCTGTCCGTCCGTTCATCACATTTCGTTTCCGGAGCAGAATTTAAAAACCATGCGAAATGTCTTAACCAAACTTGGCACATACATACGTCAAATGGTGAACTGGTGCCTTTTGATTGTTTGGGATTTTTGAGAAAAAATATTTTTCAAGTTTCCATGGCAACGACTTTGACTTAGACTGTAAATGTCGGTATTGGCGGGGGATATGAGTAGTTCATGCTTGTTATCCGTGTATCCTATATTTCAGGCTTGTTATCCGTGTATCCTATATTTCAGCCTCGAGGCTTGGCGAGGCCTGTAACGCAAGCACTAAGTGCGTGAACACTCTCACCTATTGCAACTCAGCCTCCGGCGTCTGTGAATGTCTGGCATACCACCGACTCTCAGCCAACGAGGATGCCTGTGTCTTTCAAGGCACGCTAGCCAATGGGGAAGCGTGTGACACAACTGCCGTGTGCTTTGATGTCTTGGGGGAGTGCAAGAGCAATCTTTGCGGTTGTCGGGATGGCTTCCGGCTGAAGAATGAGGCCGAATTTTGGGCGGAGCCTGAGAGCATCGTCGGTTGTGTGGCAGATTCGTTTGTGCTCGGTAGGTTGAAGGGTTAGAGTGAGTGAGTGAGTTGAGTTGAACGCTTTTCAACATATTTCAGTTATATCACGGTATGTCGGCTTTATGTCGGAGGAAAGCAGGATGTGTTGCAGGTCTCAGACGTTTACATCTTTGGTGAAATCCACGGGTCAGTGATCATTGATTGTCGTCATGGTATATGTGATCATTGATTGAAGTCGTGGTATATGTGATCAGTGATTGTAGTCATGGTATATGTCATCAGTGGTTGTAGTCATGGTGTATGCGATCAGTGATTGTAGTCATGGTATATGTCATCAGTGGTTGTAGTCATGGTGTATGTGATCAGTGGTTGTAGTCATGGTGTATGTCATCAGTGGTTGTAGTCATGGTGTATGTCATCAGTGATTGTAGTCATGGTGTATGTGATCAGTGATTGTAGTCATGGTATATGTGATCAGTGATTGTAGTCATGGTATATGTGATCATTGATTGTAGTCATGGTGTATGTGATCAGTGATTGTAGTCATGGTATATGTGATCAGTGGTTGTAGTCATGGTATATGTGATCATTGATTGTAGTCATGGTATACTTGATCAGTGATTGTAGTCATGGTATATGTCATCAGTGATTGTCGTCATGGTATATGGGATCAGTGATTGTAGTCATGGTATATGTCATCAGTGGTTGTAGTCATGGTATATGTCATCAGTAATTGTAGTCATGGTATATGTCATCAGTGATGTTCGTTATGGTATATGTGATCAGTGATTGTAGTCATGGTATATGTGATCAGTGGTTGTAGTCACGGTATATGTGATCAGTGATTGTAGTCATGGTATATGTGATCAGTGATTGTAGTCATGGTATATGTGATCAGTGATTGTAGTCATGGTATACTTGATCAGTGATTGTAGTCATGGTATATGTGATCAGTAGTTGTAGTCATGGTATATGTCATCAGTGATTGTAGTCATGGTATGAATTTACGTATTTATTTCTACTTTAGAAAACCCAGTACTATGCCCGGTAACAACAACTGAATCCACGACTACAACGCCTACAACATCTGCTACGTCCACGGCCACGAGTACAACGTCTGACACAACAACAGATTCAACGACACAGACTGCCAGTTCAACAACGGACACAACAGCTACTACAGCCACTACGGAGACTACAGATACTACAGCTACTACGGAAACTACAGATACTACAGCTACTACGGAAACTACGGACACTACAGCCACTACACCAACGACAACGACAGTTCAGACAACTATCACAGGTGACCAATATTGCGTGAGTGAGTGTGTGAATAGGAGAATTTGTTGTGTTTTGAAACTTTACAAAAACATCGTGACAGCGATCAAGATCTGTGTCCACGAATGTACACAAGCGCTTGTGACGCATTACATTAGCAACTACAAGTTGTATGGACACTGCCAGTGATAGAGCAGGTCACACCGATTTTACTAGTCCACAGAGGGGCGGTCGGGTAGCCTAGTGGTTAAAGCGTTCGCTCGTCACGCCGAAGACCCGGGTTCGATTCCCGACATGGGTACTATGAGTGAAGCCCATTTCTGGTGTCCCCCGCCGTGATATTGCTGGAATATTGCTAAAAGCGGCGTAAAACCATACTCACTTACTCACTCACTAGTCCACAGACGTTGTAGTTAGTTCTAGTTGAACGAGACAAACGTGTTTACTATGTTTACACTTTCTTTCAGTTTTAGTGGTTTCATTGTGAAGCAAAACTGAAGCATTAGAAGTGGATTTTTACTTTAGCACAATTTAGTTGTCTCGGTCTAACGGACTAGTAATTTCGAAGATTTACCAAGTTCGTTCGAGACCTAATTCAGCACTGTTCACTATAAATACCTCTGTAACACTATACACTCTTCTCAAGCCGATACATTCAGTTATGTGAGGTTTTTTTGTTTGTTCTTGTTTTTTGGATTTCGTACACATGCACACAAATGTATGCACGCTCGCACGCACACACACACACGCACACACACACACACACACACACACACTTACACACACACAAATAAACACACTCGCACAAATAAACACACATGCACAAACGCACATGAACACATACAGAGACAAATAGTCAAACACTCACACAAACACACACACACACACACTCATACATTCACACACACAAACACAGTCATACATACACTTACATGCACATACATACACAAACAAGGGCCCGTTCCCCAGTGGTGTACATTTGCAATTTGAATTTGACCAGAGAGTTAAAAACTTTATGAAAACGACGTTTACTGAAAACCGAAACACTGCAAAGGTCCAAAACATAACCATTATACCCGTATCAAATACATCATCATCAAATATAATAACCATTTCTTGATTGTTTCACCATCAACCATGGGTGTATACTTTCTTTTGCCCGACAGTGTAGTGTACGTTTAATGCATCTGCCTTGCAGTTAAGGTGTTTGATATGTGTTTGATTCCGAGCTAAAACTTCTGCTCAGAATTTGTACCACCAGAGTACCGAATCTCTCTCTCTCTCTCTCTCTCTCTCTCTCTCTCTCTCTCTCTCTCTCTCTCTCTCTCTCTCTCTCTCGTGTAGTGTACGTTTAATGCACATGGTGCATCTGTCTTGCAGTTAAGGTCTTTGATGTGTGCACTGGTGATGCCGAGTGTCCTGGCGACTCCTCCTGCAGCGTCAGAGGCTGTGCAGGATCAGTCTGCATGTGCAACACTGGCTTCGTGGCGACCAGGGACAGAACAGCGTGCTTCCAAGGTATAATATTTCAGTCTTCGCCTTCAGATTTTGGAGGGGCGGTCGGGTTTCCTCGTGGTTAAAGCGTTTGCTCGTCACGCCAAAGACCTGGGTTCGATTCCCGACATGGGTACAATGTCTGAAGCCCATTTCTGGTGTCCCCCGCTGTGATGTTGCTGGAATATTGCTAAAAGCGGCGTAAAACCATACTCACTCACTCACTCAAATTTTGGTCACCTATTGACATCACTTTAAATTATACATCGAATCGGCAATATTTCGTCCATGTACAGTTTACGAGAACATGCACACCGTATTCTTAATCTGCGTATGAAAAAGGCCCATCAGAACTGGAAGTATGATTTAAAGGGTAAATCTTTAACGAGGGGTCCAGTGCTGTTTTATCACATTTTTATTCACAAATTCACCCGAATTCGCTGGATGGATAAGATGTAAGTTTTTACACGAAAGATCTTATGCATTATATAATGTTTTTGTTTTGGCTCCGTTGAATTTACGTAGGGGAACTAACTCTGGTAAGCTGACAGGGATTCAGATATCCGGAAATTCGTTTATACGGAAAATAGTTAAGAAATTGCAAGTATCCGGATAAACGAGGTTCGATTTTTATGATACGAATTGATGACATTCGATGAAGTAAGTGAGTTGGAGCGTTGAGAACATAGCCTCACCTAAAGTTCCCAATTGGTTGGAAACGACCTTGACTGATCGTCTCAGGGCAAATCTCTATATAAGGTCATGCGAAAGCACGAGGGACGACTGAGGCCTTCTTGAAGGTTAAGACAAAGTGATATTTTTCAGGCAAGCTCATCAACGACGCATGCGATGACACCTCCCAGTGCGTCCCCTTTTTGTCATACTGTGACGGAACCTGCAAATGTTCAAGCTATGTCCGAAAAACCAACCGGATGACTTGCGCTATAAAGGGATTCTGGGTAATTGGGGAAGCTTGTGGTCACGTCAGCGATTGCCTTGATCCCAACGCCCTTTGTACGAGGGACGGGGTGTGTCAGTGTAAGACTGGATACAGAACAAAGACGGATAAAGAGTTCTGGGACAACCCGTATGACAGGACGGACTGTGTCAAGGTTGACTTCTCACTCGGTGAGTTTTCCTCTTCTTTATGCAAGAATTGGAATGTTTGGGACAGTCCATTTGATATTCGGGGTAGTGGTGGGGATGGGGATTGGGATATGAGACAAAATATTTTGTATTCTGTTAGTGTATGAGATATTCAGAAAAAAAACCTTCTCTGAAAGAAGTCGAACAATTTTGTTTTACCCACAACACTATATTTTCTGAATATCAAGCATGTCAAATGAACAATTACTTTGTCTTTAAAACCTGAGAGCAAATTATTTTGTTCGAGGATTTTCGGGTGCAGAATATATTTCTTCAAAATATTCTTTTTATAATTTTCGTCATAATCCACGCAGACCGCCAGCCTAATCATATTGTTTTCCTCGTTCCATGTGACAGAAGAGTGTGTGACATCTACAACGACACAAACACCTACAACGACTATTGCAAGAGGTACGTGCATATGAAAAACAACCTTATCATTTTGATTTCAAGTGAGTGATTGAGTGAGTGAGTGAACGAATAGGCATCATCACGACGAAAGGGGATACCTTTTCACGTTTCTGTCACGTCTAAGGGACGCAACTCTGCACAGCGAATTGCAACACCTTATGCAACTTTTAATCATTTCAACCCATCGAGCTTACAAGCCCTACCAGGAATAACAAACAGCAGTCACACCTACAAATACATATTATGAAACGTGAATTTATTTATTTTTTAATTCAAAAGCGAAGTTAAATATACTACTCAAAAGAAGTTAAGGATCACCTGATTCTTTCATTTTACAATATGAAGGAACCGGGTGATCCTTAACTTCTTTTGAGTAGTATATATAAGACGTCATCGCCAGAGAATAACCAGCTTCGATTTATCCAGAGGAACAGATTTCATTTGGTGTTGAAGGTAAATTAGCGGTAAAAATTACATGAATGGATCACTGAAATACAGTGATGACACCAGGTGTTCACGAAACCGTTAGCGTGACCTGCCCTACCGGTAGCACCTGCCACATGCACAATTAACATTAAAAAAAAGTATGTGTTTGTTGCGTAACACCGCACAGCAGTACACCAGCGGAAAAGCAATATCATACTTTTAAATCTTTGAAGGGATTTAGAAGTGATACACTTCTGGAAGAGAATTTATGGATGTCAACGTCTTTATTATGAGAAATTTTGTGTTGCTCATAATAAAGAAGTTGACATCCATAAATTCTCTTCCCTACTTAAAATATTAGGGAAGAGAATTTTATATTCATTATTTGTTGTAACCAACATATTGTTTGTCTCAGACAAAAAGATATCTGAGATCTGCGCGGTGAGTGATCAGTGTCCCCTCAACTCCGCTTGTGAGAAGGTGAGGTGCGGTCAGCCGGTATGCAGGTGCCAGCCCAGCTTCAGAGCCAACTCAGACAATACGGCATGTGTCGCAGGTAGGACCAGCGTCAATACATTCTTAATAATCGGGTGTGTGTGTGGTGCAGATCTATTCTTGGAGTGACAGGCAGAGAATGAGAGAGATGTGGTGGGGTGAAATGGGGTTTAACATCCCTAATCCACTTGAGATGAGAGGGTCCTTGAATTCAGACACAGTGTGAGTATCTATCTGTGTGTGTGTGTATGTCTGTGTGTGTGCGTGTGTGCCTGTGTGTGTGTCTGTATGTGTGTCTGTGTATCTGTGTGTGAGTGTCTGTGTCTGTCAGTATGTATTTCAGTGTGTCTGTGTGAATATCTCTGTGTGTGTGTGTGTGTGTGTGTGTGTGTGTGTGTGTGTGTGTGTGTGTGTGTGTGTGTGTGTGTGCAATGTTCCAGTTAAAAGACAAACCGGTGATGGATATCGCGAGCAATGTTCTCTCAGCAATGTGATGAGGTGTGTGTGTGTGTGTTTGTGGTGTGTGTGTGTGTGGTGGTGGGGGCGGGGGTGTTCGTGGTCGCGGCTTGTACTATTCTGGAGTAATTGTCCCGACCAGTCCTTGTTTTATCCACTTAATGCCACTCCAGGCTGGGTAACAACAAGTATGATTGGGGGTATGGGGTAGGGTCTCGCGGAGAGGGGACTTGAATTTTACGTATATTAAATAGTTGGGCCCCAACAATGAATCTCGATTTATTTTCAGCATCAAAAGTTGGAGAGGCCTGCACAAAGTCCACGGAGTGTACGGACACCAAGTCCTCCTGTGCTGGGGGCGTGTGTATCTGCCTCCCCTGGACGGTGCGCTCCACCACGGGGTGCGTGTACTGGTTCCAGAGGACTGTGGGCCAGTACTGTGGGTTGAGGGGCCCCTGCGCCGACCCTAACGCCGAGTGCAGCAGGTCAGCTGGGTGTGTATGTAGGACAGGCTACCATCTGAAGACGGATCCGGAGTTTTGGCTGGACCCCACCGACACCAATGAATGTGCTGTTGATGTGACTTCACAAGGTATTGAGTGCGTGAGTGGATGGATGAAGTGATGGATGAGTGAGTGAGTGAGTGAGTGAGTTGGGTTTAACACAGTATTCCAGTTATATCGAAGCGTATCAGCTTAATGTGGGAGGAAAGCCCGAAGTGATGCAGGTCTCAGACGTTTACCACTTCGGTGAAACCCACGAGCACGGGTATGGTGCTGACAAACCTAGAAACATAATCGGGGCGAACCGGGATTCCAACCCACAATCATAGGGACGCAACTCTGCACAGCGAATCTCGGCGCCTTGGACGCCTGGGCCACCCGTTCCCCCGATGGATGGATGATGGATGGATGGTTGGGCGTGTGGTTGGGTGGGTGAATGAGTGAGTGAGCTAGTGAGTGAATGAGCCACATCTAGCAATATCACGGCGGGGTACACCAAAAGGTAACTACACGCACAGTATCAATGTTGGGAATAGAACCCAGGTCTTTGGTGTGAAAGGAGATAAACACAGACTATGTTTATTTATTGTTTTACGCTGTACTCAGCAATATTCAAAATACGTATACATCGGCTGCCTGTAAAAAACTAGACATACACTCTTCAAAAATGGGGGCGGTCGGGTAGTCTAGTGGTTAAAGCGTTCGCTCGTCACGCCGAAGACCCGGGTTCGAATCCCGACATGGGTACAATGTGTGAAGCCCATTTCTGGTGTCCCCCGCCGTGATATTGCTGGAATATTGCTAGAAGCGGCGTAAAACCATACTAACTCACTCACTCACTCACTCACTCTTCAAAAATGGAACTACATACTACATGTACGTTTCTTTTTTTGAAGAGTGCATGTAATCAGTAATTCCTACAATGATTGAAAATTTACAAAATTTCAAAGCAGAGGAAAAAGGAGCACAAGAAAATAAACACCAAAAACATCCAAGAACGTTACAGATCACTTATCATACGTCGAGTACCGTTATTGTCTCTAGTAGGTTCAGGGGCAGTCGGGTAGGCTAGTGGTTAAAGCGTTCGTTCGTCACGCCGAAGAACCGGGTTCGATTCCCGACATGAGTACAATGTGTGAAGCCCATTTCTGGTGTCTCCTGCCGTGATATAGCTGGAATATTACCGAGTCCAGCGTTAAACAACAAACAAAGAAAGAACAATTTCACGAAACGCGGCAAAGGTTTTGATCAGTCGTCTGACCTATTTACAAAACCTATTGACGAAAACCTCCAGCATGCTCAATATCTTGTGTAAAATACTAATGACCCTATTCCCCACCGGTCCGTGAAGATCCGGGGTAGAATAGGTCCTCAGCATCAGCAACCGTTGCCGTCAAAGGCGACTATGCTCGTCGTAAGCGGCGACTAACGGGATCGGGTAGTCAGGCTCGCTGACTTGGTTGATGCATGTCATTGTATCCGAATTGCGTGGGTCGATGCTCATGATGTCAAACGCTGGATTGTCTGGTCCAGACTCGATTATTTACATACCGCGGTCATATAGCTGGAATATTGCTATGTGCGGCGTTAGACAATAAACAAACAAACAAATATTCCTCATCTGTCGAGGTACGGGCGAACCGTTCTCCTGATGTGTCACGATGCGCTGTGATTGTTGGTTCCATCAAAGTGCTTATCGTCAATTTTTTAAAAACATTAATCTTTAAAACCGAATGAAGGTATGTTTTGATTCAATGGTGTATTCATTTGGTGTTTCATAATATTAAAAGGTTGATTTATTTTAATCCATCGGGCATTTCATTGGTTTACGGGCCGATTGATCACAAGAAGAAAACTTGCGTTTGATAAATACTTAATTGGTTGTTTTGTTGTTGTTGTTGTTGTTGTTGTTGTAGAAGTGGCAGTAACACTGGTAATTATGTTAATTGTCTTAATTGCAACTGTGTTATCAGGCTGTCCGACTGACGCTGCGGGGCGCAACGTTGGTGATGCGGCGTTTGCCAAACCAGTGTTCCTCCCACCACAACCCTTCGTCATGGACCCCTTTACCTCCGCCACGTCGCCATTGACGTTCTCGTCTGTGACCTTGACCTTCCTCTTGACGGTCACTCTGCTGGCATGTTTGGATTAATTTGTATCGAAAAAATGTGATTATTTTGTTTAATAAATGCAGCAATGAAACGTTCGATCAGTTGTGTTTCTTGCAATTGTTAATCTGTTGTGCACCATTGGATACAGACACAGATTTGGTAAAGTGAAAAATTGTTGAAAACAATGGGGATACATTCAGAACGGTAGCTCGGGGACATAGGTGGCCAGTCGTCTGAGGCGCTGTGTCGAGTTGCGTCCCTTGGGCGCGCCAGAAACCTTTGGTCGTTGGTTCGAATCCCAGATTCGTCTAAATTATATTTCTAGATTTGTTTGCATATTACCCTAGCACATGGATATCACCTAAGTGGAAAACGTCTGAGACCTGCATCACTTCGGGCTTTCCTCCCACATTAAGCTGACGCGCCGTGAGACGTTTACCACTTCGGTGAAACACACGAGCACGAGTATGGTGCTTACAAACCTAGAAACATAATCAGGGCGAACCGGGATTCGAACCCACAATCATAGGTTTCTGGCGTGTCCAAGGGACGCAACACTGCAAAGCGAATTGCGACGCCAAAGACGACTGGGCCACCCGTGCCCCCAAATACACATGAAATCCCCTTACAGTGAACATACTCCTAAAATACATATAGGCATACACTAACGGCTTGTATGTTTTCTAAGCGGGTGAATGAGACCACTGTTTACAAAGGATTTCCTGCGTATTCAGGTGATTATTGAAAAATTAAAGATGCCTATATTTTCAGTCACGTCATATCATCAATGAGTGTTAAAAAATTGCTGAACGGAGAGAAGGAAAGTCTGAGAGATTTTACGAGCGCTTAATATCACTGAATTTACAGCGTTGTCTGAAGGCCGTTTGCTTGTTTGTTTGTTTGTTTGTTTGTACCAGACAATCCAGTGATTAACATCATGAGCATCGACCTGCGCAATTATTCTGAAATGAGTGTCAACCAAGTGAAGTGCCATATTAAATCGGCCAAGAGAGAGGCTATCTGTGCGACCACTTCATCGAGTTTATGTGCAGTGTGTTGAGAAGGTCACCCGACACCCCATTGTCCTTGGTGCCTTAGTTTTGGTAGTGAGTTGGAGTTGAACGCCGCTTTTAACAGTATTCCTGGCGGCGTGTCAGCTTTATGTGGGAGGAAAGCCCGAAGTGATGCAGGTCTCAGACGTTTACCACTTCGGTGAAACCCACGAGCACGGGTATGGTGCTGACAAACCTAGAAACATAATTGGGGCGAACCGGGATTCGAACCCACAATCATAGGTTTCTGGCATGCCCAAGGGACGCAACTCTGCACAGCGAATCGCGGCGCCTTAGACGACTGGGCCACCCGTGCCCCCTAAATAACTACGTAAGCCTTGATGTACTGGGGCTCGCACACATACATTGTACAATGATTAATTCAACACAATGTTTGATACTTACATAAGTGTACAATCCATCCCTCAATACACAGTTACTTGGACAGAACATGATAGGCTAGGACAGGCTCATCATGGTGAGAAGTTGGAACGATCGAGATTCGACAAACTGTTTGTTTGTTTGTTGTTTAACGCCACAATCAGCAATAGTCCAGCTATATGACGTCGGTCTGTAAAACATCGAGTCGGAACCAGAAAATCCAGTGATTAGCATCATGATCATCGATCCACGCAATTGGAATCGATGACATGCATCAACCGAGTCAGCGAGCCTGACCACCCGATCCCGTTTGTCACAAATTAAGACAGGCATAGTCGCCTTTTACGGCAAGCATTGGTTGCTGAAGACCTTTTCTAACCCGGATCTTCACGGGTCTTCACGCTCAATGGAATCTGTTTCTTCGGTACTCGCGACTGGTTTTTCTCTGGCGTTGACGTTATATTTATATCAAACCCCATTCTTATATGTCGAAGTCCTGCTTACTTCTATTTCTTGGTACTGGGAGCCCAGTCGTGTTCGGAGCCGCGCGACGATCCCGTTTGTCACCACTTAAGACAAGCATAGTCGCCTTTTACGCCTTTGACCTATAAAAACAAACAAAAGTATGTACTTTCTATTTATTTACCCATCAGTCAGAAAACTATTACAAATGTCCGCGAGGGAATAAAAGAACATTTAAAAACCTTGTAACATTATTATTATCTTTACCAGTTCCTCACAATCGCACAACCTTTGACTCCGGGACGCCTGGGCTTTCTCTGGTGATCAACAGAGCTTTGGCTCGATCCATAGTCACTTCCTTCAAGGATTTATATACACTCCGTTCTGTGCATGATTTATGCATGACCTTGACTGTGTATGTGTTACAACCAATGTGTAAAATCAGTTCATTTGTCAAGTTTCTCTTTAATTTGGCAATGTTTTGTTTGTTTGTTTGCACTTTGTCAGTTTTGTATATTGCCGAAGGAACCGTGAAGATCCGGGGTAGAATAGGTCTTCAGCAACCAATGCTTGCCGTAAAAGGCGACTATGCTTGTCATAAGAGCCGACTAACGGGATCAGGTGGTCAGGCTCACTGACTTGGTTGATGCATGTCATCGTTTCCCAGTTGCGTGGATTGATACTCATGATGTCAGTCACTGGATTGTCTGGTACAGACTCGATTATTTACACACCGCCGTCATAAAGCTGTAATATTGATGTTTGCGGCGTTAAACAATAAACTACAAACCACATGGATCGGTTAGCTAGGCTGTGTTACGTGGATGATAGCGTGTAACCCGATGGCGCAGATCGTTGCTCACAATGTCAATCACTGGATTCCCTTGTTAAAACTGAGCTGGGGTTTTACGTACGATGAATGTCGTTTGTGTGTGGTGGTGGTGGTGATGGTGGTAGTGTGTGTGTGCGTGTGTGTGTGTGTGTGTGTGGTGGTGGTGGTGGTGGTAGTGTGTGTGTGTATATCTGTGTGTGGTGGTGGTGGTGATGGTGGTAGTGTGTGTGTGTATATCTGTGTGTGGTGGTGGTGGTGATGGTGGTAGTGTGTGTGTGTATATCTGTGTGTGGTGGTGGTGGTGTGTGTGTGTGTGTGTGTGTGTGTGTGTGTGTGTGTGTGTGTGTGTGTGTGTGTGTGTGTGGTGGTGGTGGTGGTAGTGTGTGTGTGTATATCTGTGTGTGGTGGTGGTGGTGGTAGTGTGTGTGTGTCTGTGTGAGTGGCTTCTTGTACTGGTCCTAGTACTAGGTTTAATGCCGATTTTGTAGTGCTAGCCCAATGAGATTTCATGCCGCAGTTTAACATAAATATCAAACTCAGACAGAGTTTATTGGCTCATTTGCGATCTTTAAGAGAACTGATCAGTTGCATCTGCAATGAACTGTTACTTGTCATGTATTGCACGTGCATGGGATAAACCACTGGTTGCGTTCAGGCGAGTGTTTGAGGTGGCGTTTGCCATCACCTTCAATTCCCATTGTTTTTAATAGTCAATTTTCCAGTGTCATAAAAGCATCCGATCAGTGTGACATAGGCATAATCAAGATGTTTCTCAACTGTTAATCACATTGTCTACATACTGAGGCGTTTTGGCGATTGGTGGCACATGTTCCTCAGACTCCCCTATGACCCTTTAATTATTACGCTGAGTATAGTACCTTTTGCCTTTACGTGGACTATTTTAAACCTCAGGTGACCCTCAGTGAGTAAGTGAGTGAGTTGGGTTTAACGCCGCTTTTAACAGTATTCCAGTTATATCACGGCGTGTCAGTTTAATGTGGGAGGATAGCCCGAACTGATGCAGGTCCCAAAAACCCATGAGCACGGGTATGGTGCTGACAAACCTAGAAACATAATCGGGGCGAACCGGGATTCGAACCCACAATCATAGGTTCCTGGCGTCCCTAAGGGAGGCAACCAGGTGACCCTCAGTGGATGCTGTGTTGGTCTATATTTACGAAGCTTTAACATTTCAAGTATTTGTTTATCACTGCCCACTGTATCTGAGATAGACTGTTTTGTGAGGTGTTGACCTGCTCCTGGTAGTCCCCTGTAACCCAGGCTGGCCGGAAAAGGCTCGGTGAATTGGTCGCCGTGTCGTCATGTTTTCCGATGGCTTGGGGCGTTGCTCGTTGTACAGACTAGATTATTTACAGGCCGCCGGTATATAGCTGGAATGTTGCTGAGTGCCGCACTCACACACACACACACACACACACACACATACACACACACACACGCACGCACGCACGCACGCACGCACGCACGCACGCGCACACGCACACACACACAGACACACACACATACAGACACACACACAGCCACATAGGCGCACATACACACATACAGACACACACAGAGACACACAGGCACACGCACACACACGCAAACACACACACACACACACAGATACACACACAGACACACTGACAGACACAGACACACACACAGACACACAGGCACACACACGCACATACACACATACAGAGACACACAGGCACACGCACACACACGCAAACACACAGAAACACACACACACACAGATAGATACTCACACTGTCTCTGAATTCAAGGACCCTCTCATCTGAATAGGGGTACTGTTGAAGTCAGGTGGCGGAAGTGTTGACCTGTCATGTCCAAGACATTGGTTCGATTCCCCACATGGGTGCAATGTGTGAAGCCCGTTGAACATGGCTGGAGCAATGCTTCCAGGGACGCAAAACAACACTCCCAAATTCATCTTGATGAGTAGAAGATGGAGACAGTAACATACTCCCAGTGATGTGGAATGGAAAGTGTGAGAAAGGTTCACAGTAATCTGACAAGTGTCTGTCACGGAGTATCAGATTTAGGACTCGGGATACTTGCGGTTCGCCTTAAACATGTTCATGTTTTTTTCCGATACACTACTATCGTAAGTCCACTAATTGTCCCCAAATCCCCTATCTGTCAAAGAACCTGGTGTACTCTATCTGTTCAAAAACCTGGTGTCCTCTATCTGTCCGAGAATCTGGTGCCCTCTATCTGTCCGAGAATCTGGTGTCCATTATCCGTCCGAGAGCCTCGTGTCCTCTATCTGTTCGAGAACCTGGTGTCCTCTATCTGTCCGGGAACCTGGTGTCCACTATCCGTCCGAGAACCTGGTGTCCTCTATCTGTCTACGAACCTTGCGTGCTCTGCTGTCTTCTGCTCAGCTAAATATCCACGGCACGTGAATGACCACACAATGTACGTTTAACAGTTCACGAAAAAGGAAATTTCCACTTTTCTCTCAAGGTTAGATGTGAAGCAGTTCACATCCCCAGTCGTAAATCCTATCCCCATTAATCCAGGGTATCCTGTTCCGACAAACACCAAACACCCATAGCTTCCTCCTGCGCCCGATGCGAGTTGCAAGACTCCGTCCAATCAAATTACACTCATGAGCGAGAGGAAATGGGAGCAATAGAGCGATGACGTCACTTCCGAAATGAAGCTGTGGTGGCGATTAGATCCAGGGCATCTCATAAAGTGATGATATAATACTCTGGTTAAACCATGATAGAGTGTGAGTGAGTTAGGTTGATTTTAGTTCCCTTTTAGCAATATTCCAGCAATATCACGGCGGGGGACACCAGAAATGGGCTTCACAAATTGTACCCAGGTCGGGAATCGAACCCGGGTCTTCGGATCCCGCTTTAACCACTAGGCTACCCGACCGACGCCTTGATAGTGGCGATTATATGGACAGACAGACACACTATTGATTAAAATCGCACTTCATTACAATTTATATATTATAAACATCATGCTTACAAATACACAGTTTTTAGAAATATAACGAGCCACGCTTTACTGCTTTACAAGGTATAAGAAACTGTTTTGAAAATATTGTGAAGATAATACAGATATAAAACTATAAAGTTAAACTGTAAAAGTAATATATTCTAAGTCCCCGATACAAAATACAGGCCAATACAAAATATTCATTTACACGGGGCACTAGCGAATGTGTATAAGATATATTCTCTTCTTTTCAGAATATAACAGTAGGTATTGACAGTAACAGTACATGAAAAGGGTAGGGCAAGATAACATCCACTTTCTCTAAAATCATCAGCTTGTCTTTCACAATACATCATTAAATAATCTTATTGAAGTAGAACAATCATGGTATGTATCTTCAATATGATTACATGTGATATTAATATGATACTTACCCTCAACCAATTCATCAACTATTAAACTCAACTCGTCATACTAGTTGAAAATGCTGGCTTGAGATCTGACACATGAGACAAAGTAATATTCCAAAGCATGGGGGAAGTCGCTTTCATTATAAATTACATTTTATACGAGCATGTGTGTCACACTGGTTTTACGGAATGAGTGTCAGAATTCTTGTATTTCCCGAGCGAGAGCGAGGCTAATACATGAATCCTTACACGAGTTTCGTAAAAGCAGTATGACACACATGAGAGTGTGATAATTTCTTTATCAACCCATTATATCTTCATGCTTTAGAGCTCACCACCGCTGTCCTAAACAGCCACAATTTATCGAATGACATCAACCATCTTCAGCCGTGTCGCCATTTCTAGTATGACGTCATTCCGACCGTATGTCACAATAAGATAGGAATGACGTCAACAATGCCGTCCGGATGACGGAAACAATACACTGGGGCGCGAGAAATGATATTTGCACAAGTGCATATACGATTTATATAATTTCGGTTATTCTAACCCTAGAGGTAATAAATATAGAATACCGAACTCGCTTCTTTTTAATATCAATGTTATGAAACGAGTGAATAGCTCTGGTATCTGAAAAGCGAAAGCGAGTCAGATACAAAACTATTCGCGAGTTTCATAAACTTGGTATTTCACGGGAGTGGGTTTCGTCTTTTATTTATTACTGGCCATTTATAACTCTTTGAAACTCTTTGAAATTTCAATGTCAAGTGTGAATAGGCAGACATCTTCGCGATCCACATAACAATTGAGTTCTAACAGCATTCTTCAATAATATATATTTTGTAACCCTGAATCTTGACCAATGGCCTCCTATTCTATTATTTGAGGTCTAAGTAAAGCATTCAAAAGTTTTATGATAGATATCTTGAGGACATTTCCAAATTTGACACATCAGTGGGAACAATGATGCCTGATGCAATTCCCCATTTGAAAATTTGTACCATACGTTTCCGTGTATTTCTGGTGAACAATTGACTTGTCTTTGCATGTGTTTGTAACGGGTGCCACCTTTTCGTGAACACTTGGTATCCTCACTACTTGACAGTGATTCAAAGACATATGTTTGTGATATAGTTAGAACCTAGCATGGACTAAACGAGGACGTCACGTGGTGTGCACAACATGCAGTGTGAACATCACAGCTGGGGAATGACGTAAACTGGGAGTGGGGAAGGTCTACAAAAGGCCGTGCGAAAGGTGCAGTGCCATCTCTCCTAGCACAATGAAGATTGCAGGTAGGTATCTGAACGTTTCTTGAATCGTTGTTCTTTGTCCATCTGTGGTGGATATACAGTGCTTGATTTTGGACATAGGTAGTGCTAAAATTCCATGACAACGGGCTTGGACGGTGTTTAAAAATAACCACAACAGGCATACGACAGTGGAACAATGGCAACGAACGTTGACAAGTTTTGATATATCCATCAACCTGATACGACTAAATGAGTGAGTGAGTGAGTTGGGTTTAACGCCGCTTTTAACAGTATTCCAGTCATATCACGGCGTGTCAGCTTAATGTGGGAGGAAAACCCGAAGTGATGCAGATCTCAGACGTTTACCTCTTCGGTGAAACCCACGAGCACGGGTATGGTGCTGACAAACCTAGAAACATAATCGGGCCGAACCGGGATTCGAACCCACAATCATAAGTATCTGGTGTGCCCAAGGGACGCAACTCTGCACAGCGAATCGCGGCGCCTTAGACCACTGGGCCATCCGTGCCCCCCTACGACTAAATAAAATTACCCGACAGCTCTACACAGAATTAAGGGATTCTTTCCCAGCTGCCCTGATTGTGTCGCTGTCCACGACTGGTTTGTGGATTATTTAAATTGAGTACATTCTTTCCGATTCCTAGGTGCCCTGATTGTATCGCCGTCCACGACTGGTTTGTGGATTATTTAAATTGAGTAAATTCTTTCCCGTTCCTAGGTGCCCTGATGGTGTCGGGCGGTAGCCCAGTGGTTAAAGCGTTCGCTTCCCGGGTTCGATTCCCCACATGGGTACAAAACTGTTAAGCCAATTTATCGGTGTTCCCCGCCGTGAAAATGCTGGAATATTGCTACAAGAGACATAAAACCATACGATATCCACGACTAGTTTGTGCAATATGTCTGTCGATTACATTCTTTCCTGTTCCCAGCTGCCCTGACGGTGTCGATATCCACGACTGGTTTGTGGCTTATTTAAATTGAGCACATTCTTTCACAGTTGCCCTGATTGTGTACATGTCCACGACTAGTTTGTGGATTATATCTGTTGGTTACATTGTAGTCCCTGCGCGGTTGCCTTGATTGTGACGATGTCCTCGACTAGTTAGTGGGTTATGTCTGCTGGTTACTTTGTAGTCCTTGCCTGGTTGCCTTGATTGTGACGATGTCCACGACTAGTTTGTGGATTATATCTGTTGGTTACATTGTAGTCCCTGGGCGGTTGCCTTGATTGTGACGATGTCCACGACTAGTTTGTGGATTATGTCTGTTGGTTACTTTGTAGTCCTTGCCTGGTTGCCTTGATTGTCACGATGTCCACGCCTAGTTTGTGGATTATGTCTGTTGGTTACTTTGTAGTCCTTGCCTGGTTGCCTTGATTGTGACGATGTCCACGCCTAGTTTGTGGATTATGTCTGTTGGTTACTTTGTAGTCCTTGCCTGGTTGCCTTGATTGTCACGATGTCCACGACTAGTTTGTGGATTATGTCTGTTGGTTACTTTGTAGTCCTTGCCTGGTTGCCTTGATTGTGACGATATCCACGCCTAGTTTGTGGATTATGTCTGTTGGTTACTTTGTAGTCCTTGCTTGGTTGCCTTGATTGTGACGATGTCCACGACTAGTTTGTGGATTATGTCTGTTGGTTACTTTGTAGTCCTTGCCTGGTTGCCTTGATTGTCACGATGTCCACGACTAGTTTGTGGATTATGTCTGTTGGTTACTTTGTAGTCCTTGCCTGGTTGCCTTGATTGTGACGATGTCCACGACTAGTTTGTGGATTATGTCTGTTGGTTACATTGTAGTCCTTGTCCGGTTGTCTTGATTGTGACGATGTCCACGACTAGTTTGTGGATTATGTCTGTTGGTTACATTGTAGTCCTTGTCCGGTTGTCTTGATTGTGACGATGTCCACGACTAGTTTGTGGATTATGTCTGTTGGTTACATTGTAGTCCTTGTCCGGTTGTCTTGATTGTGACGATGTCCTCGACTAGTTTGTGGATTATGTCTGTTGGTTACTTTGTAGTCCTTGCCTGGTTGCCTTGATTGTCACGATGTCCACGACTAGTTTGTGGATTATGTCTGTTGGTTACTTTGTAGTCCTTGCCTGGTTGCTTTGATTGTGACGATGTCCACGACTAGTTTCTGGATTATGTCTGTTGGTTACTTTGTAGTCCTTGCCTGGTTGCTTTGATTGTGACGATATCCACGCCTAGTTTGTGGATTATGTCTGTTGGTTACATTGTAGTCCTTGTCCGGTTGTCTTGATTGTGACGATGTCCACGACTAGTTTGTGGATTATGTCTGTTGGTTACATTGTAGTCCTTGTCCGGTTGTCTTGATTGTGACGATGTCCACGACTAGTTTGTGGATTATGTCTGTTGGTTACTTTGTAGTCCTTGCCTGGTTGCCTTGATTGTCACGATGTCCACGACTAGTTTGTGGATTATGTCTGTTGGTTACTTTGTAGTCCTTGCCTGGTTGCCTTGATTGTGACGATGTCCACGACTAGTTTGTGGATTATGTCTGTTGGTTACTTTGTAGTCCTTGCCTGGTTGCCTTGATTGTGTCGATGTCCACGACTAGTTTGTGGATTATGTCTGTTGATGACATTCTTTCCCTTTCCCAGTTGCCCTGATGGTGTCACTGTCCACGACTGGTTTTGGGAATAGCATCTATTTGTTACATTTTTTCTTTCCCAGTTACCCTGGTCCTGTCCCTGTTGGTGGTTGTCCATGGCGAGTACGCCAAGAGGCAGCTCACGGCGGTGCTGACAGCGGCTGAACCCCTCCTGTCCAAACTGCTTCTGGACAAACTGGGCGTTGACAAACTCATCGGCAATTTCGTCGGAAATGTGGCTGCTTTCTTCAGCGGCAAGAGCGGCACTGTAAGTATGACGAACGCATTCTACCGAGACAGTTCTAGTTCTAGCGCAAGACAGGGTAACAACAAGTACCATCTTTTAACGTCTTTTTGTATGACGCGGCCGGGGAACGAACACCGGACCTTCCGCTCTCCGGGCGGACGCTTTACCTCTAGACCACGGAGGCGGTCAGGTAGACACTACACTACGGAGGCGGTCTATGTAGTTATACTAATAATAGAACCGTCATCGACAACCTGCAAAACATGTGCTGACCCTTTTTCCTTGTATTCAATAAATGTTTTTCTGCGTGTATTTTTCAGATACCGCTTGAAGGAACACAGCTTGTGTTAAACTACAACATACACAAGTGCCATCTGCACATTGGGAAGAGATTCCTCATCCATCGTAAGTAAAGTACTGTGAGACGTCCCTCGTGACAGAATAGGGGCGGGGGGTAACCAAGAAGTTGCAGCGTCTGGCTGGAATATTGCTAAATGCGACGTGAACCAATATTCACTTAATACTTTTGTGGAGCAAGGGTGCATGGGGGGGGGGGTGTCTGTTGTCCTCGTATACCTCCCCAGCGTCTAAAGCGTTTCTAAACATCTACTCCTACTGAGTGAGTGACTATGGTTTTGCTACGCTTTTAGCAATATTTCAGCAATATCACTGCGGGGGACACCGGTAGGGGCTTTTGACCCGAGTGGGGAATCGAACCCGGGCGTTCGGTGTGACGAGCAAACGCTTTAACCACTGGGCTACCCCACTGCCCCTAACTCTAACTAAACCATTGGACTATTATGACATCGGGGTACGACGGCACGAAAATCACCGATCTTGATCCTTTAAAGATTGTGATGGCCGCATTCGCCGTAACTCTTTGCCATCAAGGGTAGACAACCTAAATGTTTGTGTTGATTAACAGAATCTGGCGACAAAACACACCCACATAATTCTCAAATACAATCCGGTTTCCAGATATTGCTGAGGAACGTTGCGAGGCTCAAGTGTGCGAGAACGCGATCACCAAATCCTGTAAGTCCTGTACCGAGGGACACCAAGCTGACGCCCTCAAGTGTGCCCTGAAGGCCGAGGTCGCGGAGATCACCAGACTCGCCCAGGCGGCTCAAGCGGCGCAGGGTTAACTCCCCTTGTTAAAGCAGGAAAGACTTTCCTCGTGTCGATTGTCTTGGAAAAGTAAATAAACACTTAAATCATACTCGGTACCTTTATGTTGTGACATTTGACATACGTTTATATATGTTTAGAGGCATAAGAATCTTTTGCCGCATGCACGGAAACAAGACTAATAAGACTACCGGGGTAGAATAGGTCTTCAGCAACCCATGCTTGCCGTAAATCGCGACTATGCTTGTCGTAAGAGGCGACTACTGTGATCAGGTAGTCAGGCTCGCAGACTTCTTTGATGCCTGTCATTATATCCTAATTTGTAGATTGATGCTCATGAAGTGAATCACAGGATTGTCTGGTCCAGACTCGATTATTTACAGACCGCCGTCATATGGCTGGAATATTGCTGAGTGCGAAGTTAAACAACAAACAAACCAATCAAACATTCCCATACGCTACGGTGAGTCTGTAGAATAATCCAGAAAATCTTAAATTTGCACCCACGATTTCCACTTTCAAATCTCAGCTTCAGGAATTTCTGTTGCAACACTCTCCCAGTGTCTTAGGGACACAGAGCATATTTACTGTGTGCGCTATTTAAATGCATGTATTATCTATGGGCAATTTGTGGAAGAAGCGCAGATTTCCCTGTGGAGACAAGACCTGTCAGAAAGAGAGTGCCCATGCATCCTTAATTCCAAGCCATTGCGGGCAGTGGGGTAGTTGTTAACCTTGAACTAGCGTTCCCGTCACGCCTTAGGTCCGGGTTCGATTCTCCACATCCGTACAATCTGTGAGGCCCATTTCTGGTGTCCCCTGCAGTGATATGGCTGAGGGGGCACGGGTGGCCCAGTCGTCTAAGGCGCCGCGATTCGCTGTGCAGAGTTGCGTCCCTTGGGCACGCCAGAAAACTATGATTGTGGGTTCGAATCCCGGTTCGGCCCGATTATGTGCTCGTGGGTTTCACCGAAGTGGTAAACGTCTGAGACCTGCATCACTTCGGACTTTCCTCCCACATTAAGCTGACACGCCGTGGTGTAACTGGAATACTGTTAAAAGCGGCGTTAAATCCAACTCACTCACTCACTGTTATGGCTGAAGTGGTGCTAAATGCGGCGTACAAACATACTCACTCACTAAACACTTTGTCACAAGTTTTGTTTATTTTCCCCGCGTTAATACTGTTCCTCCACAGCTAAAAATATCGACCAATCAAAGAGCCGCTCCTCCGCACACACACACACACACACACACACCCATTCTGTGAGGATCTGATTCTGCGACGGCGAGCTGATTTCAAAGTGGCGAGTCGGTTATGATTTGCGATTTCACATCAGAAACAGTGATACGAGGCGAGTGGTGCTGATCGCAGTGTCTTGAGTTGTGTACAGATATATATAGGATATCACTCGTGCCGTAGAAAACAACGATCTTGAAAGATTTAAGTAACAACAAAGGAGTCTGTAGTGCAAGGGTTCTGTGGACGTGCAGAACTATACGATACCGATAGCTGACTGTTAATCTCGGGTTTTGAATAGCTCATGCAGTTTCTATTGTAAAAGAAGTCGTCCTCTATTGATTCGGAGCTCTGAAAGGAAAACTTGTGACTCGTTGCCTGTTCGGTTAGATACATGCTACAATGGTTAACTCGACATCTGTTATAACGCCTAAGTCGGTACTGTATGTCAGAACATATACCTAACCGAAAAGAACTGTATAAAATGCAGAAATAATAGACTACATACAATCTTTGCTGTTTCACCACGAGGACTCCGGAGCAGAATATATCCCCTGCAAGTCGTAGGAGCCGACGTAGGTTAGTTTGTTTGTTTGTTTGTTTGTTTGTTTGTTTGTTTGTTTGTTTGTTTGTTGTTTAACGCTGCACTCATTAATAGTCCAGCTATATGACAGTGGCCTGAAAATAATCGGTCTTCGCTTTCAACCAAATCCCCGAGCCAGACCACCCGATGTTTGGTCACCTATTACGACCATTCGTCACCACTCGCCCCTTTCCGTAACCTGCAAGAAGACTCGTCGTGGGGAAATACAAGTGAACCATTACGCAACGAGTTGACATTTCTTTTAGGTATGCCCGTTTGCGCTAAGACGGAACCCGGTCGCAAAAATGGCCATGAGCGGGTCACGAGTCGCTATTCGGCTTGTCTCGGAATAATACGAGTTGGTCACGAATGCTATTACGACCAGCTTAGGTCCCTAGGGACCTGTTCTTACCCGGAATCAATGTGTGACCTGGCTGATTGTGTCATCATGTTCCGACATGGCGGATCGTTGCTCATGCTGTCAGTCACTGGTTTGCCAGCCGTGATTCAATATAGCTGGATTGTGGTTAAATGACCTGAAACATCAAAGCACTCAACTGATTTAAATCAAAACAAGACCCGTGAAGATCCGGGGTAGAATAGGTCTTCAGCAACCCATACTTGCCGTAAAAGACGACCATGCTTGTCGAAAGAGGCGACTAACGGGATTGGGTGGTCAGGCTCGCTGACTTGGTAGATGCATGTCATCGTATCCAAATTGCGTGGATCGATGCTCATGATGTCAATCACTGGATTGTTTGGTGCGACCAAACTAATCAAAAGCAAAGCCGATTCGCGCGTGATGCACAGTCGACTTATGTGTGCAATTCGCTCTGCAGAGTTGCGTCCCTTGATCACGGCCATGCCAGAAACCTGTGATTGTGGGCTCGAATCCCGGTTCGCCGCGATTATGTTTCCAGGTTTGTCTGCACCACATATCTGCTCGTGTGTTTCACCAATGTGGTGGGGTAGCTAAGTGGTCACACTGAAGACCCGAGTTCGGTTCCCAACATATAAATTGAGAACATTCTTTCCTGTTTCCAGTTGCCCTGGTTGTGTCGATGTCCAGGGCTACAGTCCGTTTGACTCCAAATGAGAACGATGAATTGCACAATAACTCGAAATCCAGAAAAGTGTATGAAACATCAATACGGTACTTGACCATAAATAAATGTGTACATGACACGTAGGGGGACAAACCGTGGAAGGAACAGCGCAAGCACGGTCTGAACGTGCTACACAGTGACCGTGTTCATTCAATGACAAGATGCGCCACTCAGCAGATGTTAAACATTTGATGTTGAATGTGTATGATTTCTTTAGAAGTGAAGCAGAAAGAGCAAAGCCTTTTTATGCAATTAATAAATTCTTGAAACGAGCTTCAAAAGCTCTTGGTATGTCCCCTCAGAAACTTAAAAATGTTGTTAGTCGACGAGATACAAATAGTCAGGCCAAGGAGGTAGGGAACATGTCAAAACCACGCAAGGTTGATAAATTAGACAGTTTTCAGAGGGATCAAGTCAGACGTGCAATTGTTAAACTGCACTCAGAAAATAAGTACCTGTCCCTAAGAATTTTGAAGAAACACCTTGAAACTGACCATGATTTACGTGTTACAAAGTACAAACTATGGAAGCTGTTGCATACATTTGGTTACAAATACAAAAAGATAACTGGAGAAAATAGGGCTGTGTTGTGTGAACGGTCTAACATTGTTCGTCTCCGAAATCATTACCTTCGTACCATCAAGCAGAAACGTGAAGAAGGATATGAGCCCGTCTTCTTAGATGCGACATGGGTAAATGTGTCACACACAGCCAGCAGTCAGTGGGTACCCAGTGGTGACTGTAAGGAGTCTGGTAGAAAGTTACCAATGGGAAAGGGTGAAAGACTCATAGTTCTCCATGCTGGTTCTGCTAGTCAGGGTTTTCTCCCAGACTGTGACCTCGTCTTTAGAGCCAAGGCCAAAGACAACAGGGACTACCACACAGAAATGAACGGCAATGTATTTCTGGAATGGGTGAAAGATAAATTAGTCCCTGCTTTGCCTACCGAGTCTCTCATTGTCATGGACAATGCACCGTATCATAGTGTGCAAGATCCAGAAAGCAAGACTCCAACCTCTAATAACCGTAAAGGAGACATGGTTACTTTGCTGCAACGGAGGAACATTACCTTTCCTTCTCGAGCGACGAAACCACAGCTCTATGAAATCATCAAAACTATGAAACCTGACCCCGTGTATAAAGTTGACAGTTACATCAAGGGTCAGGGTCACGCTGTCTTACGACTGCCACCTTATCACTGCGACCTGAATCCAATCGAGTTGGTATGGGGCATCGTCAAGGGTGACGTTGGACGATCGAACACAAAGTTCAAATTACGAGACGTTGAACAACTCGTAAAGGAATCTCTTGGTCGGGTAACAGTAGAAACATGGAGGCGTTGTGTGGCCACAGTCGTTTACGAGATAGAGCCACGTTATTGGTCACGAGATGGACTACGGCCAGCAACAGTCCAACCTATAATAGTGACAGTCGGTTCAGGCACCAGCAGTTCCGACGACGAGATCTATGGCATGAGCGAGTCAGATTGCGACTGAAATTATCATGAGACGGCCCCTCTAATGCTCTGTCATTTCCCCTACCACAGACCGTGCAGTGCATGCGTGCTTGCGCTGTTCCTTCCACGGTTTGTCCCCCTACGTGTCATGTACACATTTTATACAAAATTACATGATAGTTTCTTAAAGAACTTCATCCGTCATGGGTCTTAAAATAAACAAAATTCAGACTTTATTGGGTACAGGGTATTCATGGTCAAGTACCGTATTGATGTTTCATACACTTTTCTGGATTTCGAGTTATTGTGCAATTCATCGTTCTCATTTGGAGTCAAACGGACTGTAGTTTGTTGAGTACTGTTAAATCACTGATAGGGCGAGATCGTTATTCACGATAATTATATTAACGTCGCGTTGAACAGTATTTCAGTTCTATCACAGACATTATACAGGGTCATTTGTCACTTTATGTCTTACACCAGGTACCTATCAATAACAGGACGGTAAGGCGTTGTTCTAAAATGTTGTTTACCTATTGACCGGAGTATGATCGACCCAACACAAGGAAACAAATTCAGCCCAATCACGCTCGGATTTCCTGAAGCCAACCACCCAACCGAAAACGCCCTAGCGCTACGGCACGTGATGTGAACAAGCAAATAATCACGTGAGAGCTGTGTTCTTAGACGATCCGCGCTGTGGAAGCTGAACCTTCAAGACGAAAACACCATGATGTCTCGCCTCGCCTTTACCGTTACCCTGGCCCTAGTGCTCTACTACCCCCCGACCATGGCCCAGCCACGTGAAGGGAAGAACTGCTGTCTCCCCCGGCAGTGGGAAGGTTTTCTGGGGGGAATTGGCGGCCTAGTGGCTGGCGGTGAGGGACAGGTGATTCAGGTAAGTAAATCGGGTAATTCCGTACTGTACGTCAGGTCTCGATTGCGGTTGATGTTTAAAAAAATAAACAGGTGAAGCATTTATTATGCGATATTTGGATATCGATCCTTGTAGGTTTGAACATGATTTATAGCTGTTAGATGTACTTGTCAGTATTCTGATGACTCCAGTTACTGTTTTTAGGGGCCGACATTCGGGAGGTGGTGGGGAGCCTGGTATTTTAACTAAAAAAATAAACATGCTTTTAAAAAAGAAATATTTTTCATTCTCGTGAAAAAATAAGAAGAAAATGTCTCAAAATACATTATTGCAAGATGTTTAGTTTCTTGTTGTTTTTAATGTTTACGCTTTTTTATATTTGTTTGATATTATTTTTTTTAAATATCTGGTTTTGCAACTGTAGCTTAAGTCATATACAGTCTCCTTGCGACATCCCAGATTGCGTGTGTATCTCATCCCTATCACTGATTGTGTATATATCTCACCCCTATCCCTGATTGTGTATATATCTCACCCCTATCACTGATTGTGTATATATCTCACCCCTATCACTGATTGTGTATATATCTCACCCCTATCCCTGATTGTGTATATATCTCACCCCTATCCCTGATTGTGTATATCTCACCCCTATCCCTGATTGTGTATGTATCTCACCCCTATCCCTGATTGTGTATATATCTCACCCCTATCCCTGATTGTGTATATATCTCACCCCTATCCCTGATTGTGTATATATCTCCCCCCTATCCCTTATTGTGTATGTCACTGTGTCTCACCCAATCCCTGATTGTGTATGCTAGTATATCTCACCCCCATCCTGATTGTGCACCCCCATTCCCACCCTCAACCACCCAGTTTTTAACCCATGAACTCCCCTCCGCATTCTACCCCACTCTACATCCTCGAACCTTATTACAAAAACTCGTGATTATATATGAGACAACTGTATTTGTCAATGACATACGCTTCAGCGGGTCACTGCATTATATGTCGTTGTGGTTATTGCGACATACCTGTTCGATCACATGTCGAGTGGTAAGCGGATCTCGGGTCAAGGTCACGAGCCGGTGTTATTGCTGGTCATTATTTATTGTCTGCTCTGTAATGTCCTGGTATATCACGTGCCAGTTTTTCTAGAAGACTTAAATAATCCGGTTTCGTAATACTCGCGTGATGATATGGTTGCACTGTTACCGTATTACATAGGCGTGAAGCACAGCCTCAGAGCTGATGTGGATGCAATGTTACCGTATTACATAGGTGTGAAGCACTGCCTCCAAGCTAATATGGATGCACTGTTACCGTATTACATAGGCGTGAAGTACAGCCTCCAAGCTAATATAGATGCACTGTTACCGTATTACATAGGTGTGAAGCACAGCCTCCAAGCTAATATGGACGCACTGTTACCGTATTACATAGGTGTGAAGCACAGCCTCCAAGCTAATATGGATGCACTGTTACCGTATTACATAGGCGTGAAGCACAGCCTCCAAGCTAATATGGACGCACTGTTACCGTATTACATAGGTGTGAAGCACAGCCTCCAAGCTAATATGGATGCACTGTTACCGTATTACATAGGTGTGAAGCACAGCCTCCAAGCTAATATGGATGCACTGTTACCGTATTACATAGGCGTGAAGCACAGCCTCCAAGCTAATATGGATGCACTGTTACCGTATAACATAGGTGTGAGGCACAACCTCCAAGCTAATATGGACGCACTGTTACCGTATTACATAGGCGTGAAGCACAGCCTCCAAGCTAATATGGATGCACTGTTACCGTATAACATAGGTGTGAAGCACAGCCTCCAAGCTAATATGGATGCACTGTTACCGTATTACATAGGCGTGAAGCACAGCCTCCAAGCTAATATGGATGCACTGTTACCGTATAACATAGGTGTGAAGCACAGCCTCCAAGCTAATATGGATGCACTGTTACCGTATTACATAGGTGTGAAGCACTGCCCCCAAGCTAATATGGATGCACTGTTACCGTATTACATAGGTGTGAAGCGCTGCCCCCAAGCTAATATGGATGCACTGTTACCGTATTACATAGGTGTGAAGCACTGCCTCCAAGCTAATATGGACGCACTGTTACCGTATTACATAGGTGTGAAGCACTGCCTCCAAGCTAATATGGACGCACTGTTACCGTATAACATAGGTGTGAAGCGCTGCCTCAGAGCTGATATGGGTTGACTGTCACAAGTATTTTTTTTATTCCGTTCTTGCCAGAAACCAAATTGTTGTCCATTCCGTGTTTTAAACAATCGGAGTTACAGCATAATTCATATTTATAACTAAACGTATATTACCTGCATTACTTCGACCTTCCTTCCCACATCAAGCTGACACGCCGTGATATTACTGAAATCCTGTTCAACACTCAACTCACTCATTCACGCACGTACATACCTTCTGTTGCAGACTATATCCAGGATAGCCTTTGACGCCGAGAGTCGTCGGGTATACGCCTACACCAACAGTACAACGGCCAAGGGAGTCTCCTCCATGAAGATCATTCAAGACTACAATACCGTCAGGAACCTACCATATAATATTCTTCTTTTAAAAAAGACATCATTTGGAGATTAACCTTGAGTGTATCCGTATCATAAATAAGAAATAATAGGAATTAAATACTGCATTATGGTTGCTAAAGTGATGCCCTATCTGAAAAATAATTTGAACAATATTTGTTTTAATTTTAATCTTTTAAAAAAAAATATGTAAAAAAATCGATTAGCATACTGGTGGTCCCGAAACAATATGTTGTAAAAAGAATAAATCTTCTTCGGCAGTTCCCCCGTTCAGAAAAAAAGTTTTATGTCCTTAAGCAGTGATCTATCAAATATTTTGTGTCTATAAGAAAACAACTCCCCCACGTCCACTCAAAGAAGACTGTCGACTTCTCACCATGGTTTTATGGTGTCCACAGCCGTTATTTTGCTGGAATGTTGCTAAAAACGGCGTAAAACCTAACTCACTCACTCACTCTGTTGCAGAGTACGATGTTTGTTATTGATGAAATGACGCGGACGTGCCAGAAGACTAAGAATACCCTGCCTTTCAACAACGGATGCGTTCCTGGTAAGACAACTTCTGTCCTTTATCATATATGTCCTCGTATTCCAGGGGGCACGGGTGGCCCAGTCGTCTAAGGCGCCGCGATTCGCTGTGTAGAGTTGTCCCTTGGCCACGCCAGAAACCTATGATTGTGGGTTCGAATCCCGGTTCACCCCGATTATGTTTCTAGGTTTGTCAACACCATATCCGTGCTCGTGGGTTTCACCAAAATGGTGAACGTCTGAGACCTGCATCACTTCGGGCTTTCCTCCCACATTAAGCTGACACGCCGTGATATAACTGGAATACTGTTAAAAGCGGCGTTAAACCCAACTCACTCACTCACCCATCGTATTCCAATTGCGAATCATTGGATTGTCCGGGCCAGACATCGATAATTTACAGACCGCTGTCATATAGCTAGAATATTGCTGAGTGCAGCGTTGAACAACAAACAAACACCCCTTCATCCTCTGCTTTATAACGTGATCGTGTGGTCAGGCTCGCTGAATTAGTTGATGCATGGCATCGTATCGCAATTGCGTATATCGATACTCGTGATGTCAACCACTGCATTGTCTGGCCCCCACTCGATTATTTCCATAACATTACATATATGTCCCAAGGTTTAATTACACAAGAGCCGGGAGGGTGAGGACCGACTATATATTTTTTGATAGTTTTGTGTTGATGTTTGTTGCAGATGACGCTAAGCGTGTGTTTGACATGACCATCGGAGAGGGTAGTGAGACATTGCAGGTCAAGATCTTCGCAATGCGTCTCCAGCAGGCAAAGACTCTGTTGGACATCCAGTTTTCCGTCACTGAGAAACAGTGCGTACCTGTCGGCGAGAACTGGACCGGCTCAGTGAACGGCGGTGAGCTGCTTACACTATGTGTTTGTGCGTGTGTGTTGTGAGCAAGTGTGTGTGGGGGTGTGAATGTTTGCGTGTGTGCGCGAGCGCACGTGCGTGCTTGCTTGCTTGCTTAACTCGTGCTTGACATTGATTGTGTGTGTGACAAGTGTGTGTGTATGTGTATGTCTGAGTGAGTGTGACAGTAATTGTGTGTGTGACTGAGTTAGTGTGTGGATGTGAAATTGATTGAGCATGTGCGTGTGTGACCAATTGAATGAGTGACAGTGTGTCGGCGAGAACTGGACCGGCTCAGTGAACGGCGGTGAGCTGCTTACACTATGTGTTTGTGCGTGTGTGTTGTGGGCAAGTGTGTGTGGGGGGGTAAATGTTTGCGTGTGTGCGCGAGCGCACGTGCGTGCTTGCTTGCTTGCTAAACTCTTGCTCGACATTGATTGTGTGTTTGACAAGTGAGTGTGTGTATGTGTATGTCTGAGTGAGTGTGACAGTAATTGTGTATGTGACTGAGTTAGTGTGTGGATGTGGCATTGATTGAGCATGTGCGTGTGTGACCAATTGAATGAGGGACAGTGTGTCACTGAAATCTGAGGTGTCAGCTTGACGCGGAAGGAGTGAGTGAGTGAATGAGTTTGGTTTTACGCCGCTTTTAGCAATATTCCAGCAATATCACGGCGGGGGACACCAGAAATGGGCTTCACACATTGTACCCATGTCGGGAATCTAACCCGGGTCTTCGGCGTGACGAGCGAACGCTTTAACCACTAGGCTACCCGACCGCCCTGACGAGGAAGGAAAACCCAAAATGATAATGAGTTGCTGAAGACCTAATTCTACCCCGGATCTTCACGGGTCAAATCCCTAAGTAGGGGTATGGTGCTGACAAAACTTGACAAGACTCATTATCGGGGGGGGGGGGGGGGGGGGGGGGGGGGATTGGATTGGATTCGAATCAACCGTATGAGGCGCCGCAATTCGATGTCCAGAGTTGCGTCCCTTGGCCATGCCAGGAATTTGTGAGTGTGGCTAAGCATCCCTTCGAATCCCGGTTCACCCCGATTCTGTTTCTAGGTTTGTCAGCACCACACCCGTGCTCGTGGGTTTCACCAAAGAGGGAAACGTCTGAGACCTGTCTCCGGGCTTCTCCCACATTAAACTGACACGCTGTGATATAACTGGAATACTGTTCAAAGCGGCGTGGGTTAAGATACTGGGCACCACTGACGCTACTCCAATGCTTCTGTCTGTATATTTATACGCGACTGCTTGTGGTTGATTATAGCTTCATGGAACTGGCAAAATGAACTACTTGTTTTTCTTTTCATTGAAACAGTCAAGATGGTCATGTCGATGGGGTACTTTGGCATCACCCCCGGGGTAAAAGACCCTTCCGTCTTCACGCCTCCAAGTTTCTGTAAACAGGTAATGAATCTAACGGTCTTAGTTCTTATCTTGTTTCACTTCTTTGTATGGGACCAAAGATATACAGTAAACTACTGTTATAACCGAAGTTCCTTACAAGCATATATCCAGCAAATATGCAGGAAATGGGGGGGGAGGGGGTTAATGTTACACTTGACTGTAGTTTTCTTCATTTTGTTTCTGCATTAAATTACTTCTTTTCAAAAAGGTGTTCTCTAATATTCACACTGTTATCATGTACAATACACTTTCACTCAATGTATGCACCGTATTCTATGTTTCAGAACACGACAAGCGAAGTGCCCGCCTTCCACCCAATCCTCAACTACAAGATCTTAGGCGTGTAAATCAGACGTCGGCCCTTTCGCCACAGCAACATAAAACTTTGATTATCCAAAACATAATTCACTTCGAATTTTTAACCACATTAGAAATTAACATCAATGATAATGACACCTTGCTGTCTGATTTCCAGCTCTTGTAAAACAACTCGGTCTGTAACGTCATTATGATGTCATCGTGACGTCATACAGATTCATGACGTCAATAACCTTACCAAGAATTGTCTGTTTACTCTTTATCTTAGTACTAAGACTCCGGCAGCAGGCGACGGAGTTAATGCCACTAGAGACTAAGTCACCCGAAAGTAGTTATGGCTTTAGAGTAAGGATTGTGTCCTGTCATTGGCTGTATATGTGACTTATATCCATGTATCCCGCCGATATTTGAGCTCGGGATCACTATTTTATCAAACATTCCCTGGAAAAATCCTCCAAGCCACACGTAAACACGTGTCATATATGTTTTAGTCTCGCTTCAATTGTTCAACCTATTCATCTTCCCAGTGGGGGCACGAGTGGCCCAGTCGTCTAAGGCGCCGCGATTCGCTGTGCAGAGTTGCGTCCCTTGGGCACGCCAGAAACCTATGATTGTGGGTTCGAATCCCGGTTCGCCCCGATTATGTTTCTAGGTTTGTCAGCACCATACCCGTGCTCGTGGGTTTCACCGAAGTGGTTAACGTCTGAGACCTGCATCACTTCGGGCTTTCCTCCCACATTAAGCTGACACGCCGCGATATAACTGGAATACTGTTAAAAGCGGCGTTAAACCCAACTCACTCACTCACTCATCTTCCCAGTCGCCGTTTATCTGGACACTGTTTATCTAGACACGCTGCTTTCCGGACGATTATTGTAAGGAAAATCCAAACATAGAAAAGATAACATTACACCGTCCTCAAGATTCGTTTATCCAGACAGCTGCCAATCCGGACGATTTCATTGATAACGGTACTGTCTGGCTTAATGAGGTTTCAATGTACGGCAATGGTAATTGTCACACCTATCAGTCATTGTTTGTTTACCTATCACATGGTGTCTTGCTAGTTCCTTGTATGACACAAGTCGTGGCTGCATTGTGACGTCAATCTGTCTCTTTTCAAAGCTTGACGGAAACAGCCGAACATGACATTGGAAAATACGCTCTACATGAAATGTCCATTCGTGACCAACTCGTGTTCCGGGATTAGCCGAATAGCGACTCGTGTCCCTCTTGTGGCCATTTTTGCGACTGGGCTCCGTCTAAGCGCAAACGGGCACAGCTAAAAGAATTTTAAACTTTAATTGTAATATTAATGATTTACGTATTTTCCCCATGTATCATTAATATTCCAGATGCTATTCAAAAGGCATCGGGACTCATTATTATGCAGTACGGTTGAACACATTTAATTGTATCTTCGGTACATTTTAAAATGTAAAATCAAAAATTATTCCTGAGGGATTCTTTGACCGAAATACTTAAAGTCATACGTGCATTTTGATTGGTTTGTCGTATTTTTACATTCATCGATCGGGGGACGAGTCTTCTTGCCGGTAACGGATATGGGCGAGTGGTGACGAATGTTTATGAGGCTTGACGGAAATAGCCGAACGTTTATTGCTGTGAAACGCGTGAAAAACCCAGTTGTCAAGTTGTCTCTCTTGTCATTGTCTGTGTATTCTTTCCTCGTATTTTGCTTTTTGAATCACGTCGGTTGAACACGTTGTTCCGCGTACGTTTGTATTGACACTTGGTATTCCTGTACATGTAGTGCACACGGATAAGATATTCCAATTTCACTTTAACCATAAAACATAACATAACTCAAGACGCATTTTGGAACTGATGAAAAATCGAGTGTTTTTTAACTTTTTTTTATAAGCATATATTCCCAACATTTTGGAATCTCTGAAAAGCCTCCACGATACTGAATATGAATTTTTATGACATATTTCTACTTTCAAGTATGACCATTCATTCCACGTTTTTCTTTTGTACTTCATAATGAGTGATATGTTTCAGAGAAAAATTAAAAAATATATTTTCTTATGACATTGTGATTCTTTTCTGTTCAAATTATTGAATCTCGCTGATTCAGTGATGTTATATGTGTATCCCCATTAATGTTATGGAGTCTGACTGATAAGGAATGCTCAACTTCGTATATACCAACCCGTGAGGATTGGGGCCAGTATTACAGCTGTATTAGGGGCGGTCGGGTAGCCTAGTGGTTAAAGCGTTCGCTCGTCACGCCGAAGACCCGGGTTCGAGTCCCGACATGGGTACAATGTGTGAAGCCCATTACTGCAGTCCCCCGCCGTGATATTGCTGGAATATTGCTAAAAGCGGCATAAAACCATACTCACTCACTCACTCCAGATGTATGAGGGCGGTCTGTAAATCATCGGGTATGGACCAGACAATCCAGTGATTAACATCTTCAGCATCGTTCCACGCAAGTGGGATATACGATGACATGACCATCAGCGTTAGCGAGTCCGACCACCCTATCCCGTTAGTCGCCATGGGTTGCTGAAGACGGATGGACTGGCGTGTGGGTGGATAATCTGTAGATGTCGGTAGGATTTACGTGTGTATGCATTTACGCATTCAGTACATTGTTCGCGTGTGTAAGTGCATGTATAATTGTAAGCATGCACATGCATACAGTTGTACGTGTGAATCTGAGTGTACGCATTAGACTAACATTTGGTCACAGAAATATAGTTAATATCATATTTGAAAATATATATCTACGAATAAAAACAAGGCAAAAAGTGAGCGGGGACCACTGACAACCCCAACCGCGACTCCAACATTAACACATGAAAAAAAGCAATATTTTATCAGAAAGTCACGTCGGAAATCAAACTTTGCACTGCACCTCATATTGGTATCGAAACTGTAACCCCAATTAGAAAAGGATCCATGAAGTAGTGTTCAAGTTAAAAGTCGCACAAATGTTGAATTCAAAAAGTTCAATATCATATATTTTTCAGAAAATACACATATCAAAATCAAACCTTTGACTACAATTATTCTACACCTTAGTATAGGGGCGGTCGGGTAGCCTAGTGGTTAAAGCGTTCGCTCGTCACGCCGAAAACCCGGGTTCGATCCCTGACATGGGTACAATGTGTGAAGCCCATTTCTGGTGTCCCCCACCGTGATATTGCTGGAATATTGCTAAAAGCGGCGTAAAACCATACTCACTTACTCCTATCAGTATATAAGTTTTCCTTAAATTTGTAAAGAATCTATGTAGTCGTTCTCAAGTTATAGATCGCACAAATGTTGAAGTAAAATACACGAGGGAGAGATTCTATTTGCCATCCAATATCATTCTTCCAAATTCTTTTCAGTTTTAAATAGTAATATGCAGTGTCTTGAGTATAAACAGTACAGCTTACCAGCTTTAGGGATAGAGATATCATTTGATTCTCACGACATGGTAACGATGACGTCACAATGTTCTGTAGGTGAGGTGATACGGGGTTTAACGTCGTGTCCGAGATTATTCCACTTATATAGCGACGTGCATGCACGTGTGTGTTTGTGTTTGTGTGTGTGTGTGTGTGTGTGTAATGCCGAGCGTCACGGGTCCAGACAAAAGGCGAATTTGGGGTACGTGGAGGACTGGGAGCCATCAATATCCCAGGTTGACAAAGAATAAAGAATATTTGGCATATCAAAAGTTGTATGATCAATGTTGCAACGTTCAAGGCCCCAGTAAAGCTTTCAAACAGTTTTATGGCAGACATGTGGAGGACATTTCCAAATTTGACACCTGTGACAAAAATGATAGGTTTTGTCGCTTTATTACAATAAGCGGCAAAGATTGGGGTGGGCCAGGCAAAAACAGACGAATCAACGTTTTGCCTCCGATTCACATATGGCAGAAAACGTACATGGTGACGCAGCGGCGACCGGTATGCCAAGGCAACAATTCTTGACCATGATCGGTATGGGGCGGTATTGTCATGGTGTGGGGCGATATCTGATTTGGGTATTGTGAATGGACATTTGACTGGCCAGCGAAATGTTGACGAAATTTTGCGTCCTGTCGATGTTCCATTTGCAATGCCAGACCACAACGTGCCCAAGTCGTCACCGATTATCTCCGACGAGAAGGCATACGGACATTGGACTGGTCGCTAAGTCCCATGATATGTCCCAATAGGGCATCTGTGGAATGCTATGGGGCGGAGAGTACACGTCAGAGACCCTGAACCCGCCAACATGGCCCAGTTTGGGGTAGCTCTTCAGGCGGAAAGGCGGGCAACGCCAAGGGCAACCATACGTAAGTTAATCATCAGTATGCCATCACGGTGTCGTGCATGTATTTCCCAACATGGTGGACACACCAGATATTGATCTACACGCCCGAAGCCCGTGAAGATCCGGATAAGGTCTTCAACAACCCATGCTTGCCGTGAGGGGCGACAATGCTTGTCGTAAGAGGCGACTAACGGGAACGTGTGGTCAGACACGCTGACTTGGTTGATCGATGCTCATGATGTCAATCACTGGATTGTCTGGTCAAGACTCATTTTTTTACTGACGGTCGTCATATAGATGGAATATTGCTGAGTGCGGCGTTAAACAAACACAATGCCAAAGCTACAAGCCCGAAATTTATTTTACACATATACTGAACCAAATTAAAAACTTCACAATCCTAAAATTTTAACATTTCGACCAGTTATCATTGTGGGCCCTTTTTATGTATTTAAATAGTAATGACCACGTATTGTCTTCAGATAACACCCGTTTTTGTGCAGGTGAATCGATCAAAATCATGTGCACAGCAAAAGTGTTTTTTTCACGTGCAACTGGTCACGTGACCATAATACCGCACGTGTTTTCAGCCATACTTGTTAGCAGTCATTAACAAAAAAAGAAAAACACAAGAAAACAAAAAGTCTTTACGGCCATTTGTCATGCCACGCCTTTCAAATGTGCAACGTGAACCTGCCATCGGCATGTTGCAGACGGGAACGTCCGTAGCTGAAGTCGCAAGGACGATGGGTTGTAGTCGACGGACTGTTTATGATTTACAGACGCGTCTACAGCAAACGGGTACCACCGCTGATCGCCCTCGGCCAGGTCGACCACGTGTGACGTCACATGCAGAGGATCGTCAGAGTGTCTTACGTCACCTCCGTAACCGATTTTTTACGGCTAAATCAACCAAGGATGAACTGTTTAGGGGTAGACTGAGTGCGCAAACTGTTCGAAACCGTCTGAGAACTGCTCACCTTCAAGCACGACGGCCATACTGCGGGCCGATTCTGACTCAATTACACAGACGTCAACGTCAATTGTGGGCATAGCGACACTTACGATGGACTCAGAGGAATTGGAATCAAGTCGTCTTCAGTGATGAATCCCGTTTTAATCTTCGATTTGCTGATGGTAGGGCGAGGGTGTGGAGGCGCCGTCATGAACTTTACGCCCAGTGTTGTGTACAGGAAGTTGACAGATTTCGAGGCGGAAGTGTCATGGTGTGGAGTGCTTTCTGTGGCAATGCACGTTCCAGGCTTCTTGTCATCCGTGGCAACCTCAACGCTGCTGCTTACCGCGACCAGGTACTTGCAGCAGAACTTCTGCCTTTTATGGCAGCACATGGACCCGGTTTGATCTTCCAACACGACAATGCCAGACCCCACACGGCAATTTTGACAAGGAATTTCCTTCAGAATGCGGGAGTCAACGTCATGGACTGACCGTCAAGGTCTCCCGACCTCAATCCCATCGAACACGTCTGGGATGCTCTAGGCAGAAGTCTGCGCACTCTCCAGAACCAACCACAGAATTTGCAAGATCTTTGCACCATTTTGCAGCAACAATGGCGTCGTCTTCCCAATCATGTGTTCACAAGCATCACAAGGTCCATGCGGAGGCGTTGTGTGGCAGTTGTCAACGCACATGGTGGCCATACACGCTACTGAACTTGTGTGCCATCAGATTCTCGTGCTTGGGACTTATGATTTAAACTGTTGATGTTATTACCGAATGCCGTAGGTGCTTGGAACAAATTATGGTTACCACCGTTAATTAAAATCCTTCTTTGGACATTAATGATTAAAAGTTACCTTCTCTGATACATTTGTCCGTTGTATATCATATATTGGAATACTTTTAAAAATGTGAAGTTTTTAATTTGACTAATATTTATCGTCATTACACTGTCACTATCATTTCGTCAGTTGCCTTATTGTTTGTCGGGACTATATATCATAATTACCTGCTCAACAGTTGGATGTTGAAGCATATACACGTCATGGTGCTCATGATGTCAATCACTGGATTGTACGGTCCAGACCGCCGTCATATAGCTGGAATATTGTTGGAGTGCGGCGTTAAACAACAAAAACAAAACAATCTTTATTGGTTGGACAATTTGTATATCATCAAAACTTAATCCTTAGCAAACTTTGAGTAGTATACATTCAATAAGTAGCACACGAAAGATGACAGGACTGGAAATCATGTTTCAGTGAAAACATGCTTAAACAGCAAATTATAATATTTAGAATATTTAGAGAAGTTTCAAAAAATTTAAAATTTTCGCTTTGGATCCGCGTATTCAGGCTCCCATTGGAATCCAGTGAGGCTGAAAGAAGTCTTCCTTCACAAACTCGCGTGCCATGATGCTTCCTTCTTTGGGGTAGCCGTTATAGTATATAGTGTATCCGCCCACCAGCCAGGCAGCCCACCATCCGAACGTCCCTACAGTCATGATCACGTGATCACACATCGACATTGCTACAAGATCCATGTGTGGGTTGTCGTTGTACATTAACACCATATCGGGTCCTGCTAGGTGGGTTCGACACCAGTCCTTGTCGTCCGTCGCTATCAAAAATACTGGAGTACGAAACTTGGATTGCATATGAAGGATAGCTTTGCGTATATAAGACAATGGCGCCATGGTATGACCATGGGATGATTCAGTGGTGTCGTTCATATCAGTCCGCCGGACATGTAAAGCTATTATAGTTCTGTTGCGATATGGAGCTGTGTAATGGCGGAACATTTCCCCTCCTGCTTGTTCGTGTTCTTCTTTGAATTTTAATTCTTTCCTTATTTCTTGTTTTATTGGTTCAAAATACCTCCAGGACTGGAACATTTGAACAAGTTGAAAACTCCCTTTGGGCAGATTTGCCATCTCGGGACAATACGCTGCAAACTGTCTCTCTTTTATCTGTAGCCACTGTTTCGTATCCACATCTTCCACAAAAGACACATCAAACGTACCCCTAATGATGTTGCTGCTGAACACAAAAGGACGTTTACCGTTACGTAAAGCTATTGCAAGGAGGGACGCGTATTGGAACATGACGTTACCTAAACGACCTTGATTGACAATTGTCAGCCTGTCATCGCTTGGATCCTTTAGCCGCCATTTTGAAAATGCTCTCTGGACATTCTCCGGGTCAAATATTGTCATATCTGTTTGACTGTGGTATTTTGGGCTATGTTGATCGGTTGGTTCTGAACACAAACAGATGCACTGGTCACGGTAAAGGCTAGTAAATATGAAGCTTAAGGTCGAGGTCATGAATATGATGGTGCCAAAAAGCCACAACTGACGAAGGATCCTTTCAAAGTCCACGTGAACCTTTTGTTTCTAGATTTCAGATACTCACATATATGCTGATACAGGTAAGGTAGAATAATTGACTGAATGCCAAACGTGTCCTGTCCACGTGCACGAATATGTACCTTAAATGACATAAGTTCCTGAAATATATAGAAACACATATTTAATTACGATACTGCAACTAAATACAATTAGACCATTTTTTGTAAACACGTTAACATGTCAATAAAAACTTCATTATAAAGCGACGGGCGAAGGAAACGATACAAACACAACATCGCATTGGGTGAGAAGCCAACAAAGAAAATCAAAACTAACTAATTTCAGTTTTAAGGCACATCACTGTGCTGATGTGTATAGAGTTCTAAGGTGTAATTGTAAGAGACAATGAGTGAGTGAATGAGTATGGCTTTGCGCCGCTTTTAGCAATATTCCAGCAATATCACGGCGGGGGACACCAGAAATGGACTTCACACATTGTACGCATGTCGGGAATCGGACCCGGGTCTTCGGCGTAACGGGCGAACGCTTTAACCACTTGGCTACCCGACCGCCCCTCAGAGACAATGACGTCAAGGGCACAGTTATGAAGGTGGGGTCAAGTGTCCGGTATTCTAACGTGTAGTAAGTCTCTTCAAACGCAATAAATTCATAATCATTAAAAAGCTGAAATCACACCGATCAGTCAATAACGCTTATGTCCTCCATTGGCGCGTAATGATGGTACAAGTCGACTCCAAACTGAGAACGTCTAACGTGTGATGAGAGTGAGTGAGTGTGGTGTTACGCCGCTTTTAGCAATATTCCAGCAATGTCACGGCGGGAGACACCAGAAATGGGCTTCGCACATTGTACCCATGTGGGGAATGGAACCCGGGTCTTCAGCGTGACGAGCGAACACTTTAACCACTAGCCTACTCCACCGCCCCGTCTGACGAGAGCTGTTGTAATCCAGCCCCATTCCTGAACCACTGACCGAGCAAGGCCTTGTCCAATCTCATTAAAATCAGATCTTAGTTCTCGCTACCGCTAAACATAGATCTGAGGACATCCCATTACCGGTCACGTCATTTGTCGGTATTCTTTCATTCATCAATGCATTTAGTCAACCATTTAAGATCAGTCGCTGACAGGGTGGTCCCATTTTTGTCAATATCCACGACGGACATCAATAGTCAAAGTCAAAGATATTTTTTTGCATTTTAGGCCTCCGGCCCCTTAAACAATCGAACAACTCTGGGATGTACTCGATGGACGTGTACGTCAACGTCAGAACACGCCACAGACAGTCCCAAAACTGGCCAACGCGTTACAAGCAGTATGGCGCAGAATTCCGCAGGACAGAATTCGTACACTAATTCGGTCAGTGCCGAGGAGATGCACAGCCGTGATTGCTGCACGAGGCGGTCACACGAGTACTGAGTTCGGCGCTACCTTGTGGCCTTATGTGACATGACAATGAACAGCTTTCAGTGCCTTTGTACAACGACAACATGTGACTTTCGGGCTCCAAAATGTCATACATGTATTTGTATCTATGATATTAAATGAAATATATCAACTTTATTAGGGACAATAAATTTACTAAAAATCTGCCCGTGAGTTTCTGTTTTTGAAGAGTGTAGTTTCTTTCACCCGTGAGTATACACGTCATCTTAATCTCGTCTCATTCGTCTTCCAGGTGAATCTATACGCCATCCAAGTTTCATTCATCGTAGTTTTTTCAAGAATCGCTTTAATTGTTTCATAAACAAAAAAATCGTCAAAAACTGGTGAAGGACTGAGTACTCACGCGACTCTGTATGCCGGTGTCCACCACCCACAACGCTGGAACATCACCAGCATGTCAGGTATAGAATGAGTCCCGCGGACACGTGGCGGGAAGCAAGTCACTACATTTACACAGACGAACTTGAATAGGATTGTTTCCCAAACATCTGCCTGACTGCTTCAGCTCTTTAAATACTCATGGGAAGTTTTACGTTTTTAGCGGTGCTGAACATACAGACCTACATGACGTGAAAATTTGTTGGACAAATATATATCTGTGTCCATGCTTTTGACTGGTGAAATTGTTTGAGAGATTGTGGTGCTTGGTTGAAAATAGTGAGTAAGTTTGGTTTGACGCGACAGTATTCCAGTTATATCACGGCGTGTCAGCGTGGCGTGTGGGAGGAAAGCCCGAAGTGATGCAGGTATCGGACGTTTACCACTTTGGCGAAACCCTTCGGTTAAATCCACGATCACGGGTATGGTGCTGATAAACCTAGAAACATAATCGGAGCGAACCGGGAACCCACAATCATAGGTTTCTGGCGTGCCCAAGGGACGCAACTCTGCACAGCAAATCGCGGCGCCTTAGACAACTGGGCCACCCGTGCCCCCGAAAATGTGTTGGAAAAATATATATCTATGTCCATGCTTTTGACTGGTGAATTTGGTTGAGAGATTGTGGTGCTTGGTTGAAAATAGTGAGTAAGTTTGGTTTGACGCGGCTTTGAACAGTATTCCAGTTATATCGGGGCGTGTCAGCTTAATGTGGGAGGAAAGCCCGAACTGATGCAGGTCCCAGAAACCCACGAGCACGGGTATGGTGCTGACAAACCTAGAAACATAATCGGGGCGAACCGGGATTCGAACCCACAATCATAGGTTCCTGGCGTCCCCAAGGGAGGCAACCAGGTGACCCTCAGTGGATGCTGTGTAGGTCTGTATTTACGAAGCTTTAACATTTCAAATATTTGTTTATCACTGCCCACTGTATCTGAGATGGACAGTTATGCGAGGTATTGACCTGCTCCTGGTAGTCCTCAGAAATCTACGCTGGCCGGAGAAGGAAAGGAAAGCCCGAAATGATGCAGGTCTCAGACGTTTACCACTTTGATGATATCCACGAGCACGGGTATGGTGCTGACAAACCTTGAAACATAATCAGGGCGAACCGGGATTCGAACCCACAATCCTAGGTTTCGAGCATGCCCAAGGGACGCAATTCTGCACAGCGAATTGCAGCTCCTAAGACGACTCCGCCAACTAATTTTGTAGATCGATGCGCAAAGTGTCAATCAATGGATTGTCTAGTTCCATTGTTCACAGACCGTCGTTATGTAGCTGGACTATTGCGGCGTTAAACAACAAACAAACAAAAAATAAACCTATCTTTCTCAAGATCCTGACAAACATAAAATATTAAATGAAAAACTGAAAAATTCACATAAATCATTCAACACTACCACCACGTACCGCCTGCGTGGTCTAGTGGATAGAGCGTCTGACCGGAGACCGCCTGCGTGGTCTAGTAGATAGAGCGTCTGAACGGAGACCGCCTGCGTGGTCTAGTAGATAGAGCGTCGGACCGGAGACCGCCTGCGTGGTCTAGTAGATAGAGCGTCTGAACGGAGACCGCCTCCGTGGTCTAGTGGAAAGAGCGTCTGAGCGGAGACCGCCTGCGGGGTCTAGTAGATAGAGCGTCTGACCGGAGGGCGGATGGTCGGTGGTTTGATCTCCGACTGCATCATACCAAAATACGTTAAAATATAGTACTTGTTGTTACCCTGCCTGGCCCTCGAAATTAAGACTATAAAACAAGGACTGGTCGAGCTCGGAGTCAGTATACTGTGTCTGAGTTGGGTATTTTGTTTGAATCAGTCAAAGGAAAGGTGGAATCTGATTAGTCGATAGGAGGGACATAGAAGGGACATAACTCGTAACGGTCACTGGTTTCGTTACGATCGAGCTACGTAATTCCAACCTAGTTCCGCAAGGGTGGTAACTAGACTGTTATAGTCAGTTAACTCTCTTGTCGCGGGATGATGGCATACACGTCGCTCTTTAAGTGCAATGATCTCTACCGCCACGTTTTACCCCATATAAGTCAGCCGGGCTATAATGCTTTTCGGACTCATCCTACTGAAATGACAGTCGCTGTATTCTGGAAATTACTGTGAAAACAGGTGATACCTGGTCCCATTTCTTAATCAAATAGATTCCAGTTGTTGCGGCTAAAGCAACTTTTTAACCATTTATAGTGAGTGAGTGAATGAGTGAGTTGGCTAACGCCGACTTTAACAGTATTCCAGTTATATCAGCTTAATGTGAGAGGAAGGCATGAAGTGAGGCAGGTCTCAGACGTTTACCACTTTGGTGTGAAACTCACAGGCACGGGAATCGATCCGGGATTCGTTCTTAGGTTTCTGGTGTGCCCAGGGGACGCAACTCTGCACAGCGAATTGTGGCGCTTTAGAGGACAGGGCCTACCGTACCCCCGAACCATTTAGACTTCATCGTCTGCGGGCAATTTGTGGAAGAAGCGAAGTTCTACCTGTACTGGGTAGACCGACTCAGAAGGAGACTATGCTCATTTCTCCTTAATTTCAAAACTTTGTGGGGCGGTAGGTTGGCCTAGTGGTTAAAGGCCTCCGATTCCCAACGTGGTGTCCACCGCCGTGATATTACTCACTCAAACTTTATCGCCAATGTTATATATTATTCCCGCGGTTAGACGACCCCCCCCCCCCCCCCCCCCCAGCTAAAACTATCGACCAATCAGAGAGCTGCTTCTCAACACACACACACACACACACACACACACACACACATTCTGTGCGGGTCGATCGAAATTATTTCATTCCAATAAAGTACAGTAAACTACCGTACGGTTATAACGAACTCAAAGGGATTATTGATTTTAGTTCGTTATAACCGTAGTTCGTTATAAGCATTTATACAGCATAACTACAGCAAATAGTCGGGACCAAAAATGTAAGTTCGTTATATCCGTCAGTTCGTTATATCCGTCAGTTCGTTATAAGCGTGTTCGTTATTACCGTAGTTTACTGTATAAGCAAGTGTGTGTGCATGATAGTGATACTAGGCGAGCGGTTTTATATCAACAAAAGAGTTTGTGGTCCTAGGGGTCTGAATTTTAACACAAGGCTGGGTCCAGTAGTGGGGACGTGTAGAACTACAGGACACCGATAGCTGCCTGTTAGTATTGGGTAATAAATAGCTCATGCGGTTTCTACTCTTTAAAAGTCGTTCTCTATTGATTCGGAGCTCTGACAGAAAACCTTGTGACTCGTTGTCTGTTCGGTTAGACGACACGCAACAACGGCTAACTCGACATCTGTCAAAACAGATCACAGAAGGTCCGGGGTTCGATTCCCAGCAGCGTCATACCAAAAGACGTTAAAAGATGGTACTTGTTGTTGTCTGGCGCTCGGCATTAAGGGGCTAAAACAAGGACTGGTCGGCTCGGAGTCAGCATACTGTGTCTGAGTCAGGTATTCATGTTAAACTGCCGCATGGTATCTCAGTGGGCTAGCACTATAAATCGGCATCAGTCCGGACTAGTAGAAGCAGCCACACGCACACGTGCATGCATATCGCTACATAAGTGCAATAATCTTGGACGCGACATTAAACCCTGAGACCATATAATTAGATTTCACCTCAACCCAGATCACGCTCGGATTTCCTGAAGCCAATCACCCAACCGAAAACGCCGAACCGCAACAGCACGTGATGTGAACAAACAAAAGAATCATGTGAGACGATCCGCGCTGTTGAAGCTGAACTTTCAAGACGAAAACGCCATGATGTCTTGCCTCGCCTTTACCGTTACCCTGGCCCTAGTGCTCTACTACCCCCGGGCCATGGCCCAGCCACGTGAAGGGAAGAACTGCTGTCTCCCCCGGCAGTGGGAAGGTTTTCAGGGGGGGATCGGCGGTGTCGAGGCTGGCGGTGAGGGACAGGCAGTTCGGGTGAGTCCGTCCCCCCTCCGGTCAAACCTCGAAATGATATGGATTCACTGTTATGGTATTACATTTGTATCAAGAATTCCTGCGAGATAATATGGATGCATTGCTAACGTATTACATAGGCGTGAAGCACTGCCTCAGAAATGATACGATATGGCTGAAATATTGCCGATGTGACTTTAAATATTAACTCACTAACTCACTCAGAAATGATATTAGTTGACTGTTACCGTATTACATAGGTGTGAAGCACTCCCTCACAACTGCTATTAGTTGACTGTTACCGTATTACATAGGCGTGAAGCACTGCCTCAGAACTGATATTAGTTGAATGTTACCGTATTACATAGGTGTGAAGCACTTTCCAGAACTGATATTAGTTTACTGTTACCGTATTACATAGGCGTGAACCACAGCCTCAGAACTGATATTAGTTGACTGTTACCGTATTACATAGGTGTGAAGCACTGCCTCAGAACTGATATCAGTTGACTGTTACCGTATTACATAGGTGTGAAGCACTACCTCCCAGCTGAGAAGGGTTGACTGTTACCCGTATTACTCAGGTGTGAAGCACTACCTCCCACCTGAGATGGGTTGACTGTTACCGTATGACGTATTTGTGAAGCACAGCCTCCCAGCTGTGATGGGTTGACTGTTACCGAATGACGTATGTGTGAAGCACAACTTCCCAGGTGAGATGGGTTGACTGTTACCGTATTACGTATGTGTGAAGCACTACCTCCCAGCTGAGGTTGGTTGACTGTTACCGTATTACGTATGTGTGAAGCACTGCCCCCAAGTTGAGATGGGTTGACTGTTACCGTATTACGTATGTGTGAAGCACTACCTCCCACCTGAGATGGGTTGACTGTTACCGTATTACGTATGTGTGAAGCACTGCCTCCCAGCTGAGATGGGTTGACTGTTACCGTATTACGTATGTGTGAAGCACTACCTCCCACCTGAGATGGGTTGACTGTTTCCGTATTACGTATGTGTGAAGCACTGCCTCCCACCTGAGGTGGGTTGACTGTTACCGTATTACATAGGTGTGAAGCACTGCCTCCTAGCTGAGATGGGTTGACTGTTACCGTATTACGTATGTGTGAAGCACAACCTCCCAGCTGAGATGGGTTGACTGTTACCGTATTATGTATGTGTGAAGCACTGCCCCCCAGTTGAGATGGGTTGACTGTTGCGTATTACGTATGTGTGAAGCACTACCTCCCAGCTGAGATGGGTTGACTGTTACCGTATTACGTATGTGTGAAGCACAACCTCCCAGTTGAGATGGGTTGACTGTTACTTATTACGTATGTGTGAAGCACTACCTCCCAGCTGTGATGGGTTGACTGTTACCGTATTACGTATTTGTGAAGCACTGCCTCCTAGCTGAGATGGGTTGACTTTTTCCGTATTACGTATGTGTGAAGCACAACCTCCCAGTTGAGATGGGTTGACTGTTACTTATTACGTATGTGTGAAGCACTACCTCCAAGCTGTGATGGGTTGACTGTTACCGTATTACGTATTTGTGAAGCACTGCCTCCTAGCTGAGATGGGTTGACTGTTTCCGTATTACGTATGTGTGAAGCACTACCTCCCAGCTGAGATGAGTTGACTGTTACCGTATAATGTATGTGTGAAGCACTGCCCCCCAGTTGAGGTGGGTTGACTGTTACTTATTATGTATGTGTGAAACACTGCCTCCCACCTGAGGTGGGTTGACTGTTACCGTATTACGTATTTGTGAAGCACAACCTCCCAGCTGAGATGGGTTGACTGTTACTTATTACGTATGTGTGAAGCACTGCCTCCCACCTGAGGTGGGTTGACTGTTACCGTATAACGTATGTGTGAAACACTGCCTCCCACCTGAGGTGGGTTGACTGTTACCGTATTACGTATGTGTGAAGCACAACCTCACAGCTGAGATAGGTTGACTGTTATCGTATTATGTATGTGTGAAGCACTGCCTCCCAGCTGAGATAGGTTGACTGTTATCGTATTATGTATGTGTGAAGCACTGCTCCCCAGTTGAGATGGGTTGACTGTTACCGTATTACGTATGTGTGAAGCACTACCTCCCAGCTGAGATGGGTTGACTGTTACCGTATTATGTATGTGTGAAGCACTACCTCCCAGCTGAGGTGGGTTGACTGTTACCGTGTTATGTTTGTGTGAAGCACTACCTCCCAGCTGAGATAGGTTGACTGTTACCGTATTACGTATGTGTGAAGCACTGCCCCCCAGTTGAGATGGGTTGACTGTTACCGTATTACGTATGTGTGAAGCACTACCTCCCAGCTGAGATGGGTTGACTGTTACTTATTATGTATGTGTTAAGAACTGCCTCAAAGCTGTGATGGGTTGACTGTTACCGTATTATGTATGTGTGAGGCACTACCTCCCACCTGAGATGGGTTGACTGTTAGCCTATTTCATTGATTCAGTTCTTGCCCCAAACCAAATTAGGGCCCATTCCCGATTTTAAACTATTGGAAGTGAAATCATTATTTCACATTTACAAATTTAACATCTGGGACCTGCATCACATCGGGCTTTCCTCCCACGTCAAGCTGACACGCCTTTTTATGCCTGGAATACTGTTCAAAGCGGCGTTAAACTCAACTCACTCATTCACTCCTGTACCTTCTGTTGCAGACTGTATCCAGGATAGCCTTTGACGCCGAGAGTCGTCGGGTATACGCCTACACCAACAGTACAACGGCCAAGGGAGTCTCCTCCATGAAGATCATTCAAGACTACAATACCGTCAGGAACCTACCATATAATATTCCTCATTTTATAAATAACATCACATGGAGATTATGAACACTGAGTATTTCCGTATCTTAAATATCAAATAATATGAATTAAAAAATGTATTATGATCGTCTCGAGGCTCTCTGTGTGACACTAGTTTCGGGTCTTTTATTAATAAATAATTTGAATTTTTTTTAAATTTCAATTCTAAAATTTATTTTATAATAAAAATAAAAAATTCAATTAGCATGCAGGTGGTCCTGAAACGATGTGTTGTGAAGAGAATAAATCTTGTTCGACAGTTCAGCCGTTAAAAGAAAAAAATGTCCTTAAGCAGTGACGCCCACTTAAAGAAGTCTGTCGACTTGTAACCAGTCAATTCCAACTCACTCCCTCTGTTGCAGAATACGATGTTTGTTATTGATGTAATGAAACGGACGTGCCTGAAGAGTAACAATACGCTGCCTTTCAACAACGGATGCGTTCCTGGTAAGACAACTTCAGTCTTTTATCATGTCGGGGCGGTCGGGTAGCCTAGCGGTTAAAGCGTTCGCTCGTCACGCCGAAGACCCGGGTTCGATTCCCGACATGGATACAATGTGTGAAGCCCATTTCTGGTGTCCCCCGCCGAGATATTGCTGGAATATTGCTAAAAGCGGCGTAAAACCATACTCACTCACTCACTCACTCACTTTATCATGTCATCGTATTCCAATTGCGTGGATCGATGCTCATGATGTCAATCACTGGATTGTCTGGACCAGACGGCTTACAGCGTTAAACAACAAACAAACAAACATGACGTCATCCTGTTCTTTGTCACGCACTAAAATAATGGTACTGCATTCAAGTCACACAAACGCCAACCCTTGAGGATCCGGGATAGATTTGGCGTCAGTAACTAATGCTTGTCATAAGAGGCGACTAACGGAATCGATCGGTCGGGCTTGCTGAATTGGTTGATACATGTCATCGCATCCCAACTGCGTAGACCGATGCTCATGATGTCAATCACTGGATTGTCTGGTCATTTACAAGCCGCCGTCTCATAGCTGGGATAGTGCTGATTGGGCATTAAACAACAAACTCACTTATGGCCCAAAACTTACACAACAGGGGGATATGAGTATTTAATGCTATTGTTCAAAATGTTATTATTATTATTATTATTATTGTTGTTGTTGTTGTTGTTGTTGTTGTTGTTGTTGTTAATATTCTGAACCGCAAAAAGAAACGTCACCTCAAGTAATATTGCATTAAAAGTTGTCATTTAAATATCTGGGTATTTTTTGTCAAAGTTTCTAAAATGTAACATTACCTTGTCCGAAAAAAATTATATTTGATGTTAAAAAAACAAAGCAGATGAAAATAAAACCGATCGCTTAAAAGGCATCACGGCAACGGCTATGGTAACCCGATGCACGTGCGTTCCGCCATTTCTTGCCCTTTGAAAATCCACTCAGATCGGATAACATTCATTCGTTATTGAATTGCTACCACATTCCAAGATTGACAAGAAATCAGCGACACCATGCCCTTGGACGATTGCAAGCTGGACACACAGCCTGGCAAGTAGCCAATGCATTTCAAGTCCACGTAAAGGCCATATACAGGCTCCAGCAACGGTACCAGACCACCAACACTACAGATGACTGACCACGTAGTGGAAGACCAAGGGTCACCACCCGACGTCAGGATCGTCAGATTGTGCGACAGCATCTTCAAGATCGCTCTGTTACTGCTGCGGAAACTGCTCGGCAGACCATGGGGACAGACCAGCGACACATTAGTGCGGACACCGTGCATCGACGATTGACGAGCAGACACCTCCACTGTCACAGGCGACACAGCACCAGCATTGGCGCCAAAAGCAGTGGAGACTCGAGATACTGACTTGTGATGCCATTTTCTCAGAGACTAGTGTTGTGTTTCACTTTAAAAACATTTGACACTTTCATTTCAACCTTGAGTGAGTGAGTGAGTGAGTTGAGTTTAACGCCGCTTTTAACAATATTCCAGTTATATCGCGGCGTGTCAGCTTAATGTGGGAGGAAAGCCCGAAGTGATGCAGGTCCCAGACGTTTACCACTTCGGTGAAACCCACGAGCACGGGTATGGTGCTGACAAACCTAGAAACATAATCGGGGCGAACCGGGACTCGAACCCACAATCATAGGTTTCTGGCGTGCCCAAGGGACGCAACTCTGCACAGCGAATCGCGGCGCCTTAGACGACTGGGCCACCCGTGCCCCCTTTTCAACCTTGAAGATCAGTTTTGCCAAGTTTCATCTTTTTAATATGTCTCAAAGTATGTTTACAGTGTTTGGACAAATACGGTTTCTCATATGTCTAGCCATGGTGACGTTTCTTTTGCGGTTCAGTATAGTATATTTAATAGGTATCATTTATCTGGTCAGATGTGATGTATCGCTGCTGGAGTGATGAGGACCAACTATATATTTTTTATAGTTTTGTGCTGTTGTTTGTTGCAGATGACGCTAAGCGTGTGTTTGACATGACCATGGGAGCGGGTAGTGAGACATTGCAGGTCAAGATCTTCGCAATGCGTCTCGAGCAGGTGAAGACCTTGTTGGACATCAATTTTTCCGTCACCGAGAAGCAGTGCGTCCCTGTCGGCGAGAACTGGACCGGCTCACTGAACGACAGTGAGCTGCTTACAATATGTGTGTGTGCGCGTGTGCGTTCGTGGGTGCGTATGAGTTGTGGGCCAGTGTGTGTATGTGTGTGGGTGGGTGTGCGTGTGCGTTCGTGGGTGCGTACGAGTTGTGAGCCAGTGTGTGTAGTATGTGTGTGCGTGTGCGTTCGTGGGTGCGTATGAGTTGTGGGCCAGTGTATGTATGTGTGTGTGTGTGCGTGTGCGTTCGTGGGTTCGTATGAGTTGTGAGCCAGTGTGTGTATGTGTGTGTGTGTGCGTTCGTGGGTGCGTATGAGTTGTGGGCCAGTGTATGTATGTGTGTGTGTGTGCGTGTGCGTTCGTGGGTTCGTATGAGTTGTGAGCCAGTGTGTGTATGTGTGTGTGTGTGCGTTCGTTGGTGCGTATGAGTTGTGGGCCAGTGTATGTGTGTGTGTGAGTATGTGTCTTCTAGTGTGTGAGTTGTGAGTGAGTGTTCTGATGTGACCCGTAATGGGATGTTCTCGGATCTTTCTAAGATCTGATTTTAATTAGTTCCATTGAAACACTACGAATGCTTCTCAAATGCTTCTGTCTATATATGTGTGCAGTATTAAGCGACAATTTGTAGTTGATTATTGTTTAACGTAACTGGCAAAATATATTTTTTTCTTTTCGTTGAAACAGACAAGATCGCCATGTCGTTTGGGTACTTTGGCATCACCCCCGGGATAAAAGACCCGTCTGTCTTTACGCCACCCGCCTTCTGTAAACAGGTTAGGAACGTTTTAGTTTTCATCTCTTTATTCTCATATTTGTGCATGAGGCAATATACATATGCGGTGTATCAATATACCATTATTTATCATGACAAAACGGGCTCCTACAGGAGATATCGCTTGGGTGAGATCAAGCGATATATGCATTGTAGATATCGCTCCAATGAAATTGCATCACAATGCTTTGCAGACCATTGTGACGTCATTGTTTCATGACGTCACAATCAAATGACATCACGAATGGCTCTGCTACCGAAGCTGTTAGCAGTTCTTTTTTATTGGTAGTACTTATTACTGTCTACAAACTGAAACAGTTGGAAGAATTATGTTAGATGATAAATAAAATCTCACCCTCTTGTCTTTTGATATCAAATATATCAACACTCCCCAGACTGTTAATTTCATGTTGGTCAAACACTGTCTTTCTCCGATGTCTTTACTTACATATATAAGCATTTGAAAATAAAGATATTTATATGATACATCCACATGACGTTTCTTTTGCCCCTCAGTGTACATATAACACTTTGAAAACGCATATTTTCTTTTTCTTAAATTAAGCTGTTCCTGTGTTTTTAGGCATTACATAATAAAACACAACAACGTCATTGTGTCACACAGTCATATTTTGTCATGCGAGTAAATATTAACGGCGGACTGAACAAATAAGTTTCTACAAAAAGGCATTTTGTTCCATCACTCAAACTGTTCTCTAATTTTCACACTGTTATCAAGTACAATTTTCGATCACTGTTTATGTGCAAGTCATTTTTATATTTCAGAACACGACAAGCGAAGTGCCTGCCTTCCACCCAATCCTTAACTACAAGATCTTAGGGGTGTAAATCAGACGTCTGTCCTGTCGCCATAGCAACTACGAACTTCTGATTATCCAAATAATAATTCACTTTCATCTTTAATCAGCTTTGGAAAATATAATTACTCATTGTGACACCATGCCATCTGACTGTTCAGCTCTTGTAAATCAACTCGGCTGTTTGGCCTTTGAAGTCATTATGATGTCATTGCGACGTCATACAGATTCATGACGTCACCAACCTTACTAACAATTGTCTGTTTACTCTTTACTCCGCCAAAGGGCGACGCAGTTAATGCCACTCGTGACTAAGTCACCCGAAAGTAGTTATGGCTTAAGGGTAAGGATTGTGTCGTGTCATTCGCGGTGTGTTTGACTCTTTAAAGACTGGAAATCTTGGCATCCCTCCGATATTTGACCTCGAGAATAATATACAGTAAACTACGGTTATAACGAACTCACAGGGACCACTAATAACCGTAGTTCGTTATAAGCACATATGCAGCAAATATACAGCAAATGGACGGGATCAAAACACATTTCGTTATATCCGACAGTTCGTTATAAGCGTGTTCGTTATAAACGTAGTTTACTGTAAAACATCCTCTGGATAAATCCTCCAAACCACATGTCAACACAATGACAACTCTTCTATAAGTTCCAACTGAACTATTTAGCCAAGACCCGTTTTATCTGGACACCGTTTACCTGGACATGCCGACTTCGGGACGATTGTTGTAAGGAAAATCTAAAGATATAAAAAGGAACATTATAATCGTTTATCCAGACTCGTTTATCCAGATTCGTGATTCGTTTATCCAGACACCTGTCGACCCGGACGATTTCATTGAGAACGGTACTGTCTGGATTAATGAGGTTGACGATAAGTTATTGTCATTCCCATCAGTCTTTGTTGGTTTTACCCATCAGATGTTTTGCCACCCAGATGTTGTTTTGCACGTTTCTTATGTGACACCAGCCCCAGCTGCATTGTTACGCCGTCTTTTTACGAGGCTTGACGGAAATAGCCGAACGTACATTGTTGTGACGCATGAAACACTCAGTTGGCAAGTTGTCTCCCCTGTTATTGAATGCTATTGTCTGTGATGCCCTTCCTCGTAGTTTGCTTTGAAGGCGTTGTTCCTCGTACGTTTGTATTGATACTTAGTATTCCTATAGTACACACGGATAAGATATAATAAATCCAATTTCAGTTTATGCATGAAAAATATATTTCTCATAACATTTAAGGATTGGCTGTATTTTTTCGGTTCATTGAGGTGTGAATACTAAAGTGTTACTATCCCTGATAACTTTGTGATAATACAGGTGATCAGAGAGTGAAGTCCTACCGCTGTAATAGGGATTTTCCGACATTCGGTTGTGATAAAAGTAGACCGCTTCAGTTGGCGTGGCTTAATTTTTCACATTCACTGGTCTTCTTTGTGTAAACTGAATATATACTCAAAAGAAGGTAAAATACCCCTTTTTCATGGCCATTGCAGATGAAATACAGATAGACATGCAAAAATCCGTTGTTCTTTTACTTCGTTTGAGCAGTATAAATTCCCAAAATTCAAGAATCTCTCCAAAGCCTCCACAAAACTGAATATGGTTCTACATTTTTCTTTTGTATTTTTAATGAGAGTTATTTTCAAAGAAAGATAAATAAATATATTTTCTTTATGACATTGTGATTCTTTCCTGTTCAAGTTATTCAATCTCGCTGATTCAGTGATATAACATTGTATGATTGCTGTTATGGAGTCGACCCGTGAAGACCCGGGGTAAAATAGGTCTTCAGCAACCCATGCTTGCCATAACAGGTGACTATGCTTGTCGTCAGAGGCGACTAACGGGATCGGGTGGTCAGGCTCGCTGACTTGGTTGATGCATGTCATCGTATCAAAATTGCGTGGATCGATGCTCATGATGTCAATCACTGGATTGTCTGGTCCAGACTCGATTATTTACAGACTGCCGTCATATGGCTGGAAAATTACTGAGTGCGGCGTTAAACAACAAACAAAACAAACAAACAAACTATCTCTTTTATGTATGTATTAGGATGTGAGCATATACAAAATCAAGTTCAACAAAAGATATATCATGGTGATGTGAGAAAAGATGGTACTTGTTGTTTCCCTGCCTGGAGCTCGACATATAGGGGATAAAACCAGGACTGGTAGGTTCGGAGTAAGTATACTGTGTCTGAGTGTGTGATCCATGGTAAACTGCGGCATGGTATGTGAGTGGGTTCACACAATTAATCCGTCATTAGTCAATGACACAAACACACATACATACACAATCACACACTTTGCTATATGGGTTCAATAACCTTGAACGCGACGTTAAACTCCATTTCACCATCCCACCTCATAACCACAGGAGATATCGCTTGGGTGAGATCAAGCGATATATGCATTGTAGATATCGCTCCAATGAAATTGCATCACAATGCTTTGCAGACCATTGTGACGTCATTGTTTCATGACGTCACAATCAAATGACATCACGAATGGCTCTGCTACCGAAGCTGTTAGCAGTTCTTTTTTATTGGTAGTACTTATTACTGTCTACAAACTGAAACAGTTGGAAGAATTATGTTAGATGATAAATAAAATCTCACCCTCTTGTCTTTTGATATCAAATATATCAACACTCCCCAGACTGTTAATTTCATGTTGGTCAAACACTGTCTTTCTCCGATGTCTTTACTTACATATATAAGCATTTGAAAATAAAGATATTTATATGATACATCCACATGACGTTTCTTTTGCCCCTCAGTGTACATATAACACTTTGAAAACGCATATTTTCTTTTTCTTAAATTAAGCTGTTCCTGTGTTTTTAGGCATTACATAATAAAACACAACAACGTCATTGTGTCACACAGTCATATTTTGTCATGCGAGTAAATATTAACGGCGGACTGAACAAATAAGTTTCTACAAAAAGGCATTTTGTTCCATCACTCAAACTGTTCTCTAATTTTCACACTGTTATCAAGTACAATTTTCGATCACTGTTTATGTGCAAGTCATTTTTATATTTCAGAACACGACAAGCGAAGTGCCTGCCTTCCACCCAATCCTTAACTACAAGATCTTAGGGGTGTAAATCAGACGTCTGTCCTGTCGCCATAGCAACTACGAACTTCTGATTATCCAAATAATAATTCACTTTCATCTTTAATCAGCTTTGGAAAATATAATTACTCATTGTGACACCATGCCATCTGACTGTTCAGCTCTTGTAAATCAACTCGGCTGTTTGGCCTTTGAAGTCATTATGATGTCATTGCGACGTCATACAGATTCATGACGTCACCAACCTTACTAACAATTGTCTGTTTACTCTTTACTCCGCCAAAGGGCGACGCAGTTAATGCCACTCGTGACTAAGTCACCCGAAAGTAGTTATGGCTTAAGGGTAAGGATTGTGTCGTGTCATTCGCGGTGTGTTTGACTCTTTAAAGACTGGAAATCTTGGCATCCCTCCGATATTTGACCTCGAGAATAATATACAGTAAACTACGGTTATAACGAACTCACAGGGACCACTAATAACCGTAGTTCGTTATAAGCACATATGCAGCAAATATACAGCAAATGGACGGGATCAAAACACATTTCGTTATATCCGACAGTTCGTTATAAGCGTGTTCGTTATAAACGTAGTTTACTGTAAAACATCCTCTGGATAAATCCTCCAAACCACATGTCAACACAATGACAACTCTTCTATAAGTTCCAACTGAACTATTTAGCCAAGACCCGTTTTATCTGGACACCGTTTACCTGGACATGCCGACTTCGGGACGATTGTTGTAAGGAAAATCTAAAGATATAAAAAGGAACATTATAATCGTTTATCCAGACTCGTTTATCCAGATTCGTGATTCGTTTATCCAGACACCTGTCGACCCGGACGATTTCATTGAGAACGGTACTGTCTGGATTAATGAGGTTGACGATAAGTTATTGTCATTCCCATCAGTCTTTGTTGGTTTTACCCATCAGATGTTTTGCCACCCAGATGTTGTTTTGCACGTTTCTTATGTGACACCAGCCCCAGCTGCATTGTTACGCCGTCTTTTTACGAGGCTTGACGGAAATAGCCGAACGTACATTGTTGTGACGCATGAAACACTCAGTTGGCAAGTTGTCTCCCCTGTTATTGAATGCTATTGTCTGTGATGCCCTTCCTCGTAGTTTGCTTTGAAGGCGTTGTTCCTCGTACGTTTGTATTGATACTTAGTATTCCTATAGTACACACGGATAAGATATAATAAATCCAATTTCAGTTTATGCATGAAAAATATATTTCTCATAACATTTAAGGATTGGCTGTATTTTTTCGGTTCATTGAGGTGTGAATACTAAAGTGTTACTATCCCTGATAACTTTGTGATAATACAGGTGAACAGAGAGTGAAGTCCTACCGCTGTAATAGGGATTTTCCGACATTCGGTTGTGATAAAAGTAGACCGCTTCAGTTGGCGTGGCTTAATTTTTCACATTCACTGGTCTTCTTTGTGTAAACTGAATATATACTCAAAAGAAGGTAAAATACCCCTTTTTCATGGCCATTGCAGATGAAATACAGATAGACATGCAAAAATCCGTTGTTCTTTTACTTCGTTTGAGCAGTATACATTCCCAAAATTCAAGAATCTCTCCAAAGCCTCCACAAAACTGAATATGGTTCTACATTTTTCTTTTGTATTTTTAATGAGAGTTATTTTCAAAGAAAGATAAATAAATATATTTTCTTTATGACATTGTGATTCTTTCCTGTTCAAGTTATTCAATCTCGCTGATTCAGTGATATAACATTCACTGGACAAAATATCATCCATTCCAACATTTCCAAAACTTGGAAATACCGTCATTCCAATTGGAAATATGACCATTCCAAAATTTGGAAAGGTCATATTTCCAAGCTTGGAAATGTTTGGAAATGTTTGGAAATGTTTGGATTTGTTTGGATTTGTTTGGAAATGTTTGAATACATAGGTGATTTTATGTCTGCTTCTTCTGTCTGCTGGTTAAGCTGTTCAGATCGTTTCCAAAGTGGATTTGCTGCAATATTCTATCCCAACGCTTTAGTTGAATACATAATACTGTTTATAAATGTATTTGACGGTGCAACACATCAAGAATTTACTGCCGCTTCTTCAACTTGTGTGCACTTGAGATTATTATTACGTCGGTAATGCACTCTTTCAAGTGCATCTTTGGCTTAAAGCTTCAAACGAATGCTTTCATAAAATACCCCATTAGATACTTTTCAAATGTTAGGATGTGTTGGCAACACATCATGGTTTTATTGCCGCTTCTTTCAGTTCGTAGGCTTGTATAACGGAACATGGTGGACTTATATGTCTACATATTTGATTTTATGTCACCAAGCTCATTTGTCGATGAAAACATTTCATCTGTAATACGTTACATAAGTGTATCATACTTATGGCCATCATATATTTTGGCAATATTTAGATATCGCAACACATCATGATTTTATTTCAAAGATGCAAAATAAAGGTCACTGAGGGTAGATTTTTTTTTTAATTTGTATATAGCGTAGTACAGTGAATTTCTCTTGGTTGTTTAACAAGCTCACATAAAAGATGTAAGCCTCAATAAATTAAGAATTATGTTTCTACTGGTGCTTCTTCTGGTTCTCAGTTTGTTGTTGCGCTTTGTTCAAATATTTTGTAATATGAACTTAGCACCATAAATGATTTGAAATTTATCACAGGATGTACACCACCACAAGAGAGGCATCGTGGTTTTACTAGTGCTATTTTACAAATCGAATATACCTTTATCAGACATGGCGATGCGATTGAACACCGGATTGGTACCCTGTTATATATGGCTGTTTCCCTCTCTGTTTCTCAGAACTAATCCATAAATTGATAGCATTATAACTAAACTGCTGTCGAGGTGTTCATTCCAAATCTTACATTTCACCAAGCCATGCAGAAATAACAAAAATACAAAACACAGGATGAACGTGAATTTATATTCAGGATATCATGTCATAGTTCAAGGTATATGTACAATAAATAACACTTGGGCACATCACTGGGTAATGATCATACATGTATACAATTATATCTACAATAATACACATACAAGAACTAAAATATAGAATGTACAATTAAAATTTATATTTAAAGCAAAACTTTACAACAACAATAAACCAATAAATTACACACACACAAATCTGTCCCTTGGTGACACAAATGTAACTGTCCTGGTACCTATTTGTCCCTCAATTTTGAAGAATTTACCCTTAATTCGTTGAATGGGCATAAACGAAGATGGACCAGAGTCAACATACATGGAAGAGTGCCAGGCTTCCACTGGTCGGCCACAATGGTTTTTTAGTTTATCTTCAAGTTCCCGATACCATTGAACTTCTGCAAGGATGTGTCTCTTCTCTATGCCGTCAACTCTTGCTGAGTGCTGAAGGTATCTCAATACCTTTCCAGGTCTCGGAGAAACCCCCCAACCAATTTTCCCGTCCCCGTCTGTCCAGTAGGCAGTGATGTAAGAAGATCTCACACTTTGAGACTTGGCAGATCCAAAGACTTCTGATCCAAGGTATAGAGTTTTTATTTCCCTAACGGCCGGCAAAGTCTCGACTGTTTCGCCATAGAGGGCTCTGTA